AAAATTAATGTGGCTATGCACAGAAAATCTTTAATTTGTCTTTTTTGTATACCATGCTCGTGAAAGAAGACTGAAAAAGATCTTACTAAGCAATGTACTGTAAGAACTACAGTACGATGACAGTTTATCGGTTTTTCCAGGTGATGATTCACCTTACAATAAACTGTCCGCAGGGGAAAAATGCCATGAGAGAAGATCTACCATGTGATTTGGACATCAAAAACCAAGCCTTTTCTTTTGTTTTAAACAGTGGAACAAGTAGGGTGGCCTCTTTCTCCTCCAATTAAGACAAGATGAGCTTTGGGAGAAGTAGAGTGAAAAACACAACTATCTGCCAACTATCCAAACTTGTAATTATGTGATGCCTCATATCAAAACCATGTGAATCATCTCAAAGCCCAACCCTAAGCTCTAACAACCCTCAGGTCATTTAAAATAGGCACATGGTAGCCTACCATACCAATTCTCACGCAATGTTTCACTTGTGCTACACCTACACAGTGCCCTCTATTGCAATTAATTGCTGGCAGTCACGCCATAAAAAATGTATTTATTGTTAAAAAGCAAACAAATGTGCCTTTAGTGGTTAGCTTCGTGTAAAAATATACCTGGTAGCAGTAACAGTGATCTGTTCGGGGGGTGTATTGAAAGTGAATAAAAATGATATTCCATAGGAGTTACAATGTCTTATTTATATGTAGTGCTATACACGTGTGAGCTGGTTATTGGAAAGACCTTTGGCAATGTGTTGGTTTTCTAAAGATATTCTTTAAAGTGTCCACAGGAAGATTAGAGATAAAAATAAACATTTGTCATTGTAAACCTGTTTTTCAACATGTTTACATATTCATATACAATACTTTTACATATATTTGCATATATTTCTTGCTGTGCAGGCTATCGAGTTCATTGACCATTAATCCTGTATTCAACAATTACACCATAATCAGATGTAAATGCAGGAACTTCTGTTTCTTGCTCCTGATACGTTTGGAATTCATTAATATTACCTGGTCCTTTGAGGTTGTTTGTCCCTTATATTTTCCCCTTGCATATTTTCTTAAGACCTTCTGCCCTCTTCCATTTTAGTTTAGATATTTTAGAATATGAAGTTCTTGTCCAGTTCATATGTAGTCTGTCTTGGCCATACAAATGGCCTGTGCCTTAGAGATGTTTCCAGTGACCGATAAAGTTTAAGCCTTCTTTAACACACCTGATTCTCAACCATACTGAGCTGTACTTACAGATTAACACTGCAGTCCATTGTATCCTAGTGCAGGCAGGCTCCACAAGAACTGATTCTGCTCTTCAGTTTATTTCTAAAATCTTTGAATTTGTTTTCTGCATATAGGGTGCTGTTTATGCCAGTGTTTGTCTCAACATAAAGAACAACAGTGTCTTTTCCTTTTTTTTTACTAGAAGCCAATCTATGATTTGGACAATACAATCCCACCTCAGCTTCATGAAGAAAACATACTGTTGCTACCACAGGGTCTAGGTTATGTATTGTGCTTGCAATACTGAGAATAGACATTAATGTTGGAAAAATGCTCTATGAGCACACTGAAAAAATTATCATTAACTGCCCGTGCAGAAGGCCTTTATAGATCCAGCAATGCTGTTTGAAGTTCATCAGGTGTTCATAAAATCCCTTTATAGTCAAAACTGTTCCTAAGATAGAAGAAGAATGGCATTTGCTCATTAAAACATTTTAAATCTGATTCAAAAGGCTGTATGCTGTTATTAATTTACTTTAAATCACTGTTTTAATTAGAATAAGATGCTTTTTATTGGTTGCTTAATTGAATTTTTGCATTCAAGAACATATTAATACTGACTGCAATAAGTGTTAGGTTTAATTGTGTGATGATTTAAAACAAAACAAGTTTTCACATCAAAATATATTTTAAAAGGCTGGATAATAATAATTAATATTTTTGTAGCCTATTCTTTGTGCAGTTTTCTCTTTTCCTGGGAGAAAATGGCAAGCTTTGATGTGTTTGGAGGTGCTGATGAGCAGATTTCTTGAAAGAATTATCCTCTCAGAAGAGCAAATAAATGTTCAACTAAATTCAAGTTAGAGCTGTGACTGGTAAAGACAAAAGCTGTATCTGCATTTACTCACTATTAATTGTAAAATGCCTGTGACATTGATCATGGGAATTCTGCTAATGCATACCAGAAATATGCATTAGTATATTTATAACAACAACAATATTAACAACAACATTTACAGTATATCAAGAGCTCCTCTTGTTCTGTTATTATAATTAATATGATAACTTGCTTTATTCAATACTTCATTCATTTATTCAAAACAGAAAAAATGAAAGTGAAACCCAACCCTATTACTGGCTAGTAGAATAAGTAGGTGTATAAATAATATGTTAAATACTGCATTCTTTGTTGGGTGTATTAGCATATGTTTTTCATATATTTTTGCTGCATGAAGTTAAATTATTTTGCAAACTAGTGTGGAATGTGTGTGGATGAGCACCAAACAGTAAGGGGCAAAATGTAATTGAAAATCAGCCTGTGCAGGAAATATTCTAACAGAAAATGCCTTAAAATCGTAAGAAAACCTCTTGAATTGGTTTTCAATTCAACTAAATTGGACAGAAACTGTAGAGCATTTCAGCAATTGTATTTATATGGATGACAGGATGATAGCTCATGGATTTCTTTCAAAGGTACTGTATGTAGATAGAAGTGCTTCACATTTATTTTCATGGCTAATTTGAAATAAAATAATAATCGTGTAATCTTGAAATAAAAATTAACATTCTTCCAGAAATCAACATTTACAGATAATTTAAGAATGTAAATATTTCTCAAACATAGTCCTATATACTGTATCTTGTACATGTACTGTACATAAAATTTAGCTATATATATAATTTAAAGTTATATACAACTTTATCATACACATACATTTTTCAAAGCAAACCCTTGAAAGACATCAGATAATAAAACATCAGTTTGGAGCTACTATACACAAGAAACAACATTACATGATAAAAGCTAAAAAAGTTCAAAATCCAAAACAACAGGTTGGATAAACTTGATTAAATAATTATTTCTGGTTTTCTAATATTTTTTTCTGAAATTTAGAATTAGCCTTGAATTAGAATGATCCAGGTTACACACAAATGTGTAGATGTTAGTAGATATTGTCATGACACTATGAATTAAGAGAAATTAATAAATAAGAAATATATATTAGGTAAATCCATAATTTCCTGTCCAGAATAAAATTGTGGTGATGACACGGTCTTTATACAAGCAAAAAGCAATCTAGATATCCATCTAGCTATCCATCTCAGAAAAGCACATTTTCTGAATCCAGTTTGGAAAAGCTGCTGACAAATGAAAGTTATTATTGAAGAACTGCTTCCTGAGGTTAACCACCTGATTTTAGGTGTTTACTTCCATGCCAAGATCAACAAGCCAGGACACATCATCCTGTCTTCCTATAACTGTCCAACTACTCACCAATTCTGTTCTCTTTTACAGTTTAATAAGACCATTTTGTGAGGATCTTCCTTGATAAATTAAGAACACTAACCATGTTTTGCAGCAGTTTGACAGCTTTTGGTTTCAGGGCCCAGAATGTTTAATCTCCGTCATGGACATCACATCTCTACGCGCCATCAATCCTTATGACAATAGTCGCACAGATCTCAGACACATATTTAACAAATGTGCTGAAACTGTCTAGTTTTTGCTGCATGAACCCTCCAAAAATAAACTGTAAAATCTCCTTTGTTAGTCTTTCCGAATCGGTGCCTGGTTTTGAATTGGCCAAATTATTTGAAACTGTATCTGCAGGTGGGTGCTGTGAAAAATAAAATCTGAATTGTTCCCAGAAGATACTGCATACCAGCTGCTGCTTTTTCACATAATGTACATTATGAATTTTGTTTGCGACTCTTTTAATATTTCAATTGAATGCATACAATACATGAATACTCTGTATTATGTAACTGTTGTACTTCTTTGTATTATGGCCATCTCTCTACCTGTGAAACAGGGTTAGCAGATCTCATTCTGAAAATGCCAGAAGTTTATGAAAGCACTGTTGCCTTACAGGTCTTGGGTGCTGGGGTCATTCCTAGACTCAGGCATCTTCAGTTTATAGCCTTCAAGTCCTCCTGTTGTTCACATGGGTTTTCGCCAGGTGCTGTGGGTTGTCCCACATTCCAAAGAAAACTTACCTTGATTAATTAGTGTCTGTAAATTGTTTCTGTTTTCTGGTCTGTGTGTATGTCCTACAGTAGACTAGAGTTCCATTCATGGTCCTGCCTTGTTCTCTTAGTTTCCAGGTTAAGCTCTGGGTTGGCATGACACTTACCAGGATTACAGTATGTAACCAAAATAACGAAATAATAATAGCTTGTCTACAAAGATCATATTTATTTTTCTAGGGGCTATATAATGGTATCTTGGTAAATATATAGATGTTTTCACACATTACTCTTTCACACTGTGTGAAGATGTATGTCCCCAAAACACTGCACATCATCCAGTGACAGCGTAAAAATTCCAGATTATTGAACGCAGCACAGAGTCTTTGCTCTTAGTAAACAGCACAGGATTGAAAGAGAGCTTGTGAACCCATATAATTATAGGAATTCCAATTCTTAACAATGATACCCTTGTTTAATTAAAACCTACCTCCTCTTAAATAAACAAAACGTTTATTTTTAGAATATATAGTTTTTAACGTAATAAATGCATGAAGAATTTTACATTTTAGGCCTATAATGCAGCAGTTTGTATCAACGCAGTGGGTTCAGAAACTTCTTCTTGGCACTGCAGATGGGTTACGTTAGTCCTCAGAAATTGGTACTTGTTAGAAAGGACCTTGTTAAAAATTATTTATACCTTTGGTAGAATCTGTATTTCTGTGCCTGTGGCATGACATAAAATGAACATGTCCTTCTATGTTTACTAAAATGTATTAAATATAAAATGATCTTGCCTGTCTCTTTCTTCTGAAGCTCGGAAGTTGAAGAAGATTGGACAGCTGAAAGGTCTAGAAGAAGCTGGGAACCAAAACCCCATTGAGACAGTCCAGTGCATGTCTCCAAAGCCCAGCATCACTACCCACACCCAGCCAGTGTTCCTGAATATATTGGAGTCCATCGAGCCAGAGGTGGTGAATGCAGGCCATGACAATGCCCAGCCTGATTCAGCAGCTTGTCTGCTCACCAGCTTGAATGAACTGGGAGAACGACAACTGGTGAAGGTTGTGAAGTGGGCAAAAGGGTTGCCAGGTAAAGACCACTTAAAGTTCAAAGGGAGCTTGTATAGTGTGAAGTATAAAAGTTCTTAAGTTTAATGTTTCTAAGAACAATGTAAACTGGGTAGCTGAATACTTGGCATTGCATAAAGTTGGATCATCCTTTTTTCCCCCATAATAAAAAGTAGCATATCCTGTTCTGTTGTTTTTAAACTATTTTATGCAAACCTAATGTAAATGTCTTTTATGCAAATAAAACATGAAATTTTACTATGAGAAGTGCTGCTAAACAACATTGGGGTATCATAAAAGCCACTGTTTAATATAAACAACACTTCTCTTGAAGAAGGAATTTGCAGAAATTATTGCAACTCATTTTTTCAGACTTTAGGCCCTGGAGTTTATAGATCTGTTTATTAAGACAATATCAGTTCCAAACTTGGATGTTTACTGCAGCTGTGCAGTATTAGTTCTAATGGACAGAAATACTCTCCATGGGAAAGCTGACATTTTGATTCCTTAGAGCTGAAGGACTTCCTCATAGATAAACTGGCCCATGATGTTGCCTAATCTCTCACATGTCTGGAATTTTCTTAGAATATATTTTGCATCCAAGCAACAATCTTCAGAGTCATTTCACAACTGAGAGGAGAGTTGCGCTAGAATTTATCAGTTTTGAATAGCATGTCTCACTTGACCCTGTATTGGAAGACTTAGTTTAGAAAATGGATGAATGCCTCTCTTGAAAGCTTTTGTTTTTATTTAGGCTGACCACATACTATACTATGTTCTCATGCTGTTCAACTGATGATAAAGCCCAATAGTAATAGGAAATTCAGTTCACTTTAACTATATAGAGTACTGTATGTCAAGTAGAGCGCTGCAAAATTGTGAAAATGAAAGGTAATTGTTATTTTTTTATCAGTTCAATGATACATAGGATTAAGCCACTAGAGAGAAATAAGTATCAAAACCAGCACAGAAACATAGAGCCAACATACTCACAACCTGTGATAAAAGCAAACTAAAGGATAAATGCTTGTCCAATTTCCAAGTTACTGACAATTAACCTGTGCATGCATAACGAAAGGAATGTAATTTTGAAATAACCTGTTCAGTTGTCTATTAAATAGTGTAGTACATAAGAGTATAATGTTTATTAGTGACATACTAGGCATATTAAAATTTTAATATAAACATTTTGAAGTTTGGATAAATAAGAGCTCATTTTAGTTCTATTTTTATAACCCACTTGTTTTCTTTGGATGTGTGTACAGTACTTAAACATTTAGCTTGCAGGCTTTCCTTAAAGGACAAAGAGAATGGAGGTGAGAACAAGTGGTATCACTTCTCAATTTGCAGTGATATTTAACCATGAAACAACCTACAATGTTGTATACACAAATATAGTTTCTAGGTATTATCTTAAACAAGCTACAAATGTAAGCAACATTCTGGTGACTTTGCAGAGTGTCACAAAGTTCTATAGTCTTTCTGTAGTCTGAGTTTTTTTTTGTGTAGAGATGGAAGAATCAGTGGTTGTCATGGTTTTATACCTCTTCTCTGTACAATACTCCCTGCTTTTCTTTTGAAATATCAGGATCAGCACAGTAAGAAAGTCTGCTTTTTATTTTGGATTTAGACAAAGGGGAGTTGGTATTAACAATGCCCCAAAGATTAAGACAACATAGTGCAAACTCATAGAAGTGCCTGAGAAAGCATCTTGTAAACAAAATGTCATTTTGGACCGTAATTAATGCATGTTCAATGCATTTTACAGTGTGAATTGAGTCACAGACTTTTGGCTTTGTATTTTCAGGCTCATTAACTGCCATCACAGATGTAGCATTTCTTTTCACTAACACTTTTTTTTGTAAAGTCAGTTTAGCAAATCTCCCAGGGAAGAGAACATTGTTTTCACATTGAATGTTTTATGATGTTAATGTTCTTGACGCGTAAGAGCCATATCGCCATTTGCTCCTAATATTCCTCTTTTTGTTTTCTTCATGGAATCTTCTGCAGGTTTTCGCAGTTTGCATGTGGATGACCAAATGACTGTTATTCAGCACGCGTGGATGGGGGTTATGGTGTTTGCCTTGGGTTGGAGGTCCTATAAAAACGTTAATGCCAGAATGCTGTACTTTGCTCCTGACCTTGTATTCAATGAGTAAGTACTGTACATCTGTGAGGTCCAATTTTCCAAGTAATGGGTAATTTTGCATAGCTGAAATAACTTACGATTCTAGGATATGTGCCAGGATGTTGTCCTCCTTTTTATTTTCTCTGAGGTTTACTCTAGTGCATTTAATGATATTTTTCAATTTTGTGACAAAAGAAAAATGTTTTAGTGCTCAAAACTCAACATTAGCTAAAATAAAACTGTTTTTTTTACCTAGCAAGATTCACTAATAAGAATCATCTAATACATTGTAAGTTCTCTGGGGAGCTCAGACATAATGTCATTTGATTCTAACCCAGATTTGAATATTGCATTTTGCATTATCTTTCTTTTGCTATCTAGCACTCTGGATAAAAGAGAGACAACTGTAAAAACTAAAAATGCAATAGGACAGAAAATATAAAGTGCCTGTATGGATATAAAATAAATTGGTCAAAATTATTCATTATATTTTGATTCTAACTTCTAGGACAAATTAGTTCCCATGTTTCTATTTTACTGTAGATTTTACCTATTTGTGTATTAATTATTATTTATCAAGAAATTGACTAACACGTGAAAAACTGTTTGCAGAATTATAAACATGTGCAAATTGAAAATGTTCTGTTGATACAATGATGTGTGGTCATGCGGAGATAGTAAGGCTTGGATGTTGTGTGACAAAGAATCACTTTCATTATTTCTGTTCTGGCTAACCATTTTTCCAGTGTCATTCACTTGACATTCTAGGGGTAATGAACTATACTATTTAACAAAACAGCAGCAAAATATTTAAATTGTCCTGGTTCAGTAATTTACACCTTACTCTCAAAAAGCTAGTATAATTTTTAATACAGCTGTTCATGCATACATTACATTTATCATCAACTGTGTCTGTATTTATATAAAATCTTTTGTCTTAAGCATAAGTACTGTAGTTTTATTGGAAAGAGTCTATGCCTGTAGGATAAGAAGGAAACAAATGATCTCCTGCTTATTTGGTAGCTAGCTATATTCTGGACCCATGTCACGCTTTGACATTGGAGAATCTACAGTATGTACGTAGCAGTTTTTTTACCAATGCACTCACAAACTGTTTAAAATGCCATAATTTTTCTCTCCTTAGTTTTTGTTGATTACCATTCGCAACCCCTGGTTGTGATCTGTGGTTTTAAGTGGTTATACTGTATGTATGCAAACAATTGCAGCCCTAAATCATACAAAAAATGTAATGTTTAGACAAGGGTTAAAAAGGTACTTTTAAAAACAATAAAAAGATCTTTACTGTACAGTATATGAGTTCGGTAGTAAGACAGTAAGCAATAGCCAAATGTTATTTATTTAATGTCGTCAAAATATATACTTTTACTTGCAAATGAGTCCACTATATCATCCTAACACTGTCCATTAGCAGTTTCACTCATAAGAAGAAACTTGACTATGTTTTCCATGTGCAGTGTGAATTCATCCTTTAGTATGCATCTCCCAGCCTCCCTGGAATGACACAGTGCACAGGCAGGTAGACAAATTGTGTGAGCCAAAAAATTGTCATTTTTTGACTGTGATCCTTAGGGTTTGTAGCACCTTTCAAGCTCCAGAGGGTTACATCCTTTTAACAGGCTCACGCTGAATGATGCCTTGCATTTCCTAGAAAGAGGCTCACACTGAGTGATGGCTTGCATTTCCTGGAAAGATTCTCATATGTGAAAAGTGGGTGTTCCCCATTTAAAGAAAGCTTGAATCAATGAAAATGTAGCTACTGTATTCAGTCATGTTGGCTAAAGCCGAATCACTCAAATAAAATTAGAACATGCTTTGAAACTCCCTTGTTGATTTAGATCCAAAGACTGAGGCACAAAAGCTTGAGAATAAAGATTAAAGGACTTTTTTATGTTTAATTCATAGTCTTATAACATGAACTCTTCATCTCTATCACTTTATAGCCACCGGATGCATATCTCAAGCATGTATGACCACTGTATTAGAATGAAGCGCCTTGCTCAGGAGTTTGCCTGGCTTCAGATCACACAGGAAGAATACCTATGTATGAAAGCATTGCTTCTCTTCAGCATCAGTAAGTCTTTCTTTTTCTGAGATTTTTAAAACACAGTTACAGAATGTGCATATTTTTAAAAATAATAAGGAAGTTTTTAGGTACATAAAGCTACTGTATACATAAAATATTGAAATTTGTGAAGGGAAAAGTACTAATAAGAATTAGCACTCTATAAGAAAATAAATAAAGCATACTGTAATTATAATGTCTGAAGTGTCAACATTGAACAAATTAAAAAGCTCAACACGAGAAAACGTCTTGAATTGTCTTCTCATACCTATATATACAAGATCTTTCTTCAAGTGAAGAGGCTCGGCTGTATTCTGAGGAACTGCTTTTAATGAAATCTGTAATCTCATGATGAGTATTGTCTTGAAAAAAAAAGAGTTTTTAATGTTTTATATGATTCTGATAGGGCCTTTCATGAATGTTTTTTTTTGATTAATTGAATTAAAAAAACATGTTAATGAGGAATAATGACACCCAAGAATTAAATAATGAAATAAGAATTAAATGTTTGAGGATATTTGCTAAGTACTTACTGTAAGTATCAGGGGCAGAGCAGTGGCTAAGGATCTGCACCTGTGACTGGAAGGTTGCCTGTTCAAATCCCGCAGCTGGCGGAAGAATCCTACTCAATTGGTTCCCTGTTTACCTCAGCTGCTCTAGGGGTGCTGTATAACTGGCTGACCCTGCACTCTGACCCCAAGCTTCTCTCTCTCTCCCTGCCTGTGTGTCTCATGGAGAGCAAGCTGGGGTGTGCGAAAAGACAAATTCCTAATGCAAGAAATTGTATATGGCCAATAAAGTGATCTTATCTTATCTTATGAAATTTGGGATTTTATACCTGCTTGTCTGAGGCCTAGCTCCCTTGTCATAGGGTGAGGAGAGTAGGACCCCCTTTAAGGATGAGGAGTGAGCAAGGATAGCTGCAAAAGCAACAAAGGGTTGGAGGAGGGATATGAAACAAGACAGGAAGAGAAAGATTTGTGAATGATATGCATAGTTTTCAGAAGATGACATTGGGAATGTTTATGATATATAACAACTGGGACAAAAGCAACTTGGTGTCATCAACCTCCCAAACTTCAGTTATGAACTACCATTTAACAATTACTAGAGCTTCCAGAATACTAATTGTATGTTATTTCACTCTTGATCTAAATTTTCTTTATAATTTTTCACTTTTATGTTATGCCCTAGTTCCAGTGGAGGGCCTGAAAAGTCAGACGTATTTTGATGAGCTGCGGACAAACTACATTCATGAACTGGACAGACTAGTCAGCTCTGGCAGGAAAACCTCGTCAAACTATTCTCAGAGGTTCTTCCAGCTAACGCAGCTCATGGATTCTCTTCAACCGGTGAGAACTAGTTTACTTCATTATTCAGAAAAAGAAATAATGAAATATATTGGGGATAATTACATTTCTATTCAGGATACATTCATTTGTAGGGTTTGTTGCATATTGCTGGATACATATACAGTAATTTCAACAAAATCTAAAACTAATTTGGGAACATTCTTCTTATTCCATTTATATTATTTATTGTGTTTTACCTACATAATGTACTGTGCTTCATAAATCCCTCATGGTTACAAAGAAATGGCTTCTTGTCTATGCCACCTAACCTTCTCTTTTTAAAAATTCAGAGATTATTTAAAACACTGACAAAAAGGTTTAACTTTAGTGTGAAATCAAGTTACATTAGGTCACCAAATTAAGTGGGTGATGCCAAGATATGCATAGTATAAAAATGTAACTGCAAAAACAAAATTGCCTCAAGGTGAGGCAGTAAGTTTGCATTGCGACCCCTGTCAGCTTAATAGCTACAGTATGCAAATTACTCAGTATTCACAGTTTATGAGCTGGAAATACTCTAATTATAACAAAAACCTTTGTTTTATATAGCACCTTTCATGGTACATCTTCTCAAGGTGCTGTAATATAAAATACCGTGGATCACCATGAGCATCAGGGTATCCAGTGTCTGCTTTCACAGCCCAATAATGAAGTGCAAAACTGGCAGTAAAGCACAGGCATGTATAAGGAATAGGAGAAAGGCCGTTATCACCATCAAAGCTACCACCACGTGAACAGACAAGTAGTAATTCATTTGCAGTACTGCTGGGTGGTCTCGATATTGGAGCTGCCATCTTGTGGCATAGCCAGGGGCTTTTTTTCCTGAGGCATGTTCCTTTGGGCGGGAGGCAGGAAGATTCTCAGCACTTTATGTCCCAGGAGAACAGGCGGCAAAATAATTTACTGAGGTGTCATTCTCGGTTTCGTCAATTTATAACATGGATAATACCATTTATAAAGTTCAGACACTAATGAAAAAAAATCACCAAGGCTTCCAGTTGTCTCTGAGTGCACTCTGCCTATGTATTGTGGCAAGTCATTAAGATGCAATTCAAATTAACCATAACCATAGTATTTTTTTTGTAAAACAGTAAAAAAAGTAAAACAGTAAAAATAAACAGTAATATACAACGTTTGCCATTTGAAGACAAATTAATGCTCTCTGAACGTTTGCTTACATTTTACTTGGTTCTGCGAATGTTTGCAGGATGTAGGGATGTGTAAATTACTCAAGGCAAAATCTTAACATCTCATTTTCACATTTGTGCTTCTTGTTCTTCTAGGTCCCGACCTATTTGCACTCTTTATTTTTAATTTATATACATTTCAGTGCAATGTACAGAATGTTAAGGATGACAAAGTGCTAATCTGATAGTGGGTGCAAACATTCAGGTTAACAACACTCTTAACTCATCTAACTTAACTCATCTTATTTGCTGCTGCTAAAGCTCATATCCATAAGACAGAGTTTTGACCACAGATCACTTTTACTATATCCTGGCATCACCCTTAAACCCTTTCAGGATTATAATTATATTATAGGTATATTTTGACTCATTATGACTTTTTTTCTTTGCTTTCTAAGATTGTGAGGATGCTCCACCAGTTTACCTTCGAGCTGTTTGTCCAGGCCCAGTCATACCCAACAAAGGTCAACTTTCCAGAGATGATGTCAGAGATTATCTCAGTGCAGGTGCCAAAGATGTTGGCTGGAATGGTGAAGCCAATCTTGTTTCACAAATAGCAACAGTGCGCAACACCATCAGTTAACTACCTTCTGTTTCTGCTGGTAAAATATTTCTGGAGGAGAGCACTTTCAAGATGCCAGTGTCCAGTAAATTTTCAGTTTTTGCTTGTCTAATGGCTCAATGTACTGTACAAAACCATTATATTATTACAGTAGTTTGGCTGCTTGTCAGACACAATTTAGATCATTTTCTCAAGCAGCTGGGGTTTTAGAGTTGATCGGAAGCTATAGGGGTCATCTTGGTACAGTACTTCTGCATTTCCAAGTATTCTCTCATGAAATGCCCCGACAGATATTGAGGAAAATAAAATGCAAGGAAGACAGAAGTACAGTCCTTTTTACTGACTCCGTAAAAAGGATGCTTGCAGGATAACTACAGGTGTACAGTACATATCTATGCATATCATGTGGTTCATGCAAATACTTCCAAAGTGAAGTTGTTTTAAAATTGCATTTATGCTTGCTCAACTGAAATTGCTGTTGATGTTAACCAAATAAGATAACAATGGATATTTCTTATTTTACCTGTATGAAAAATCTTTCATTTCCTGCTAAAGCTGTTAAAGCATTCACATTTTTTCTACAAAAGTATTTCATGGTACAAAAGCAGGGTGTAGCAACTGTAAATTGTATTTACCAGAACACTTAAACTGAATCCCAACAAGTCTCTGTTAACAGAAAACTTTTAGCATAAACTGTACTATATGTTTTCAGGGCAGGGCATAGTTGGGATAAAAATGGGTTTTGCTGAGCTCAGAAGGCACAAAGATGTGATGATTTATCGCACCAATACATAGGAGCAGAAGATCTATAACATTACACCTTAACTACCTAGTCACTAGCAAAAACCTGCAGAGCAGACACAGAAATGCATTTAGAGAGCAGCCATTATCCAGAGTAATTCTGTAATAAGTATCTTGAGATCTAGTTTTAAATTTACTCAAACTTAAAATAAAATGCATTACATAAACCTATTTAAAAACTCAGCAGATTTGGAAGAAATATTAAAAGCAAAATTTTGCTGTTCAAAAGGTTTCCTTTTTTGAAAAGTTAAAATATAAATATCTAAATATAAATGATAGCTTAAAAGTGCTGTGTGTGTAAATATGTTCAATTTATTTTAGCTTGCTTAAGCAAACAATCAAACCTTTACATGTTTTATATTTAGACAATTTCTAAAAATATACTGTAATTTACAGTGAAATATAATATTGCTGCGCTGAAGTTAACTGCTGGTACTAATGTCCTAAGTGGACAAGCTGTTCTTTTTTACTCTTAAATACTGACAAAAGATTCACTTGTACTGGTTAAGCTTTTGACAGAATATGTTTTTGTGCTTTAAGTCTATTTTTGTGCTTTAAGTCTATTAAAGTTTTCCAATTGATCACAGTGCTTTCAGTTACTCGCACAAAGGCAAACCGACTCTTTTACTCACTTTCTTTTGCACTACAAATTCACAAATTTAAAATTCAAATCTGGTTTAATTCAAAACAATTGTGTTTCCAATTAAAACTTTAAACAATATTATTTTTTTTCAAAATGCAATTGTTTTACGTGTTGGGAAGAGATGACTGTTGAGACTTTCTTTCGTAGATAAGCTTTCAGACTATAGTAGGTTGAAGGATAGATAATCTTTGAGAAGTATGTTATTTAAAACAAAAAATAACTTATTTATTTTAATCAGTTTATCTGGGCATAATTTCTCATCTGTTAAAAAAGATTAGTAAAAAATATTTTGCTTTCTACAAAGTAATGAAACACTTTCTGTAAATGGAGCTGTTAAATAGAAGTTTGGGAAGAGGTCAAATTAAATCTTGCATTTTCACTCTCACACTTAAATATTTTGCCTGCTGAACTCCTTCACGTTCATCTTTTCTCACATTCAATATTTTGGTTTTGGCAGAGACAGACATCTATGTTAGACCTTATTTTGTAACTTCTGGCTTTGTCTCACAAGCCACCCTCATCATTCACCTCCTCTGAGAGCAGGAAACGAGTTTCCTGCAATCTTCTTCTTGCAATCTCAATCAATCAACTCTGCATGATTCAAAAATATACAGTATGCTCTTTTCTTCCAGTTCTCCCTATGTTGCCACCCCTCTGTGAAACTCTGGCACAACTTTGGCCATTTCCCATTCTTCCCCTTTGTTTAACCCCCCTCTTTCCTACAGTCCTCTCTCACTGTCTCTGTTGATCATCCAACCTACTGTACCTATGGCCCCTGCCTATATTCCTTGTTTTATCTCTTCTTTTTCACAGTCCCTGTAGGACCCCTTATTAGTCATTGATATTCACTCTTCCCAAAGGGTGTGAACACACAATGTGAGTCTGCATTGGGCCCAAGCTCCTTGTCCTCACCCCTCGCTGGCTCCCAGTGCTCATGTCAGTCACAAGCCCTGGCTGATAAGTTTCTCAACCCTCTTTCTTGCTGGTGTCCAACTGATACAGTGTCGGCCCTCAACCTTTCCCAATCCCTCCCCACCACCCCACAAGCTTCTAACCCCAGCTTCTCAAGACTCCTGTCTGCTCTCAGGACCGTCATTTAGTTGCTTTTTTCTTCAGACCCATCACTTTGAAAACTTTGCTCTAGCTGATGTCTTTTGGAGCTCCATGTGGAATCCATCTTCATCTATTCAACTGGATCAAATGGACTAGCTCAAAGCATCCACATTCATTTAATCAAGCTTGATTTCCTTATTAAGCTTATGTGTTGCTTTATTCTTCTCTCCATACTTTTCTCAGTCAGCCATTCCACCTGGTCACCAACAGACATCAGTAAGTGGTTACTCACTACCAGTTACTATTTTGCTTCCCTGTCAGTTCAGATGACCTCAGGCACTCTTTCCAGGTGGATGTAGAGTCTTCCGCAACCCACCACAGAATTCCTGTCTTTACCAGTCTAAGGCTTGGTAGTTCTGCTGCCACTTGTGCATTGAATTTTGTTCTATCTCCTGCATTTTAACACAATTCTCATTCACAAGACGCTATAGCATACATTCTAAAATTGCTTCCTCCAAAACCTTGCATAATCAAGCAACTCGCTGAAACAAAGCACATACAACAATAGCTCCATCATCGAAGATTCTGCATCTGTGTTTTTGGGCTCTTTAAATGTTTATTGGGAATCTTCTGAACCTTGACTTGCAGTATTAGCCAGGCGAGGTGACACCAAACAATGAAATATTAAGGACACCATTATTTATCCATTATTTCGTTCTAGTAATTAGAATAGGACCAAACTACTGAAATGAAGAAGGCCTACAATAGGTCAGTTGTAATCTCACGCTTCTGCTCTCTTGCATTTATATATTTCAACTGCTAAGCTCCCTTTCCTCATATCTTTTCTCAAGCCCACCCCTCCAACCCACCTTCACCCTTGCAGCTTGCAGCAGGCTCCCTGGCTTAAACCTTGAAGTGAAGGTTGTCAGCCTTGCCGTTATGTCAAAATACTGAAATTGTGTATTATTGTTGTTGAAATTTTAATTGTTGATTGGACATTTTATTTGGAGAAGGATAGTCTGCTAAAACACAAATTGTGTATCTTGAGACTTTGGTTCACATCTCTTTACAATATAAATTCAAAACCACTGCATAAACCAGTCTGGAGAAAGAAAAACTGGAAGGCTTTGCAGAAACAGTAAAAACTAAAGTAAAACTGTAGCTTTTTTAAATGTTTTAAAGTGATAAATTATAACCAATGATAAACTGGTTAAAACTAATTAATGTTATTTCCTCACACAATAATCCCACACAATTCAAGAAACACAAATGATGAAAACCATTAAAAATACAACATAATATATTTTGGAAGCAGCTATTTTCAGTCATCATTGTTTTTAATCCATTTTTATCAAGCATAAATTCAATGCTGAAAACTCTTGTTTTTGTGATTGTACTTTGAATAATAATAGAAACATCTGCAGCCAAGACTTTGTAGATATTCCTCAAGTTCAAATATATTATTTACAGATATGCATGCAAAAAACAAATATTTGTCAGTTTTATAAACTACTTAATGATTATTGTGCAAGATCTAATATCTCAATATTCATAAAAATGTGTCTAGTGCTGAGTCATTTGTTTATGGTGAATTTCTGACAGTTAAAAAATCATTAATCAACCATCCACTACAGCCTGTAATTTGTTTTGTAAATAAGCTAGAAAAAGAATACTTGTTTCCAGCAGTTTTGTATCTTAAACAGTTTTAAAGGTGTTTCAGGTCTTACAATGTCCACATTGTCCTCAGAAACACTGATTGCAAATGATCAAGTAGATCTCCCTAACACAGCTATCTAATACTAAGCATTTTAAGTGTCCAGTGCTTTTTTAGCAGTGAAAAAACACATAATGACATATAATCATGCCAAAGAGGCATAGCTTTCTCTCTCTGCACCAGCAATAAATGCTTGATAAGATTTTTTTACATACTGCAAAAACAGGTTTCGGTGTTCAATGTTCAAGGTTGATCTGCGCTAAATATACAGTAAGTGCTTGCTTACTAGTGCAGTGTGTGTAATTCTGTTCAGTTTAATTTAGCTTGCTTAAGCACAAAAACAATCAAATCTTTACAAGTTTTATATTTAAAACAATTTCTATATATATGTAATTTACAGTGAAGCATAATATTGCTTCATTGATGTTAATTGTTAGTACTAATGTCTTTTGTGAGCGAGCTGTTTTTACTCTGAAGTACAGACAGAAAAGATTCACCTTTGTTGGTTTAGTTTTGACAGAATTCATCTGTGTGCTTAAGTCTCTTAAATTTTTTAATGATCACTGTGCTTTCAGTTGCTCTCTTAAAAGGCTAACAGACTCTCTTACTTGTGATCTTTTGCACTGCACATTCACAAACGTTGAATCCAAAAGCTGATCTAATTCACAACTGCAAAACATCTCTTCAAGCTGCATTTGTAATTACATGTTTTAATTTTATACAAAATAGCTTCACTTAACCTTTTGGATAGAGATGACTTTTAAGACTTTTTTTTCTAGTTAACCTTTCAGCATACAAAACTAACAAATTCTCATAATGTATTTATTCTAATTGGTTTGTATAAGCAGACGAATGACCAGCATTCCAGTCAACATAGTTTTCATTGTATTAATTAATACAAATAGCAGCAAAAGAAAATATTTTGCATCCATAAAGCAATGACAATGCTTACTATATTTAATGTTATTATTTTCTTGCAAATTAATGACTTCTTGATTAGAGATTGTATTTGGAGAAAGATACTCTGACCAAAAAAAGAAAAGCAAAGACAGGGTTTATTCATAATAATACGGTACACCACAAATGAAACCTGACAGACTAAGTAGGTAGTTATTAAGAATGGGTTTTCAAAAGTGGCATTGTGGCGACAACTAGAAATAAATGTCTTTTCTTACAAATTACAACATGTAGTTTGCTCAAGCAAAAATGCAAATGACTGTTTTTGTATTTGATCACAGTATGGCAATTGCTGGAAAAGCACACTAAAATTGGAAAGCAGTGGTATTTGCATTCACCTATTTTTCATAATGCTGTCCTTTTATCTGGCAGTTGTCACTTCTCTTTCCCTCCAGTGATCTGATCTGGGAGTAAACTCTCTGGTAGATGTCACAAAAGACAACTACCTTTGTACATTCCTGGACCTCCAATGATGCTATGAATTACAGGGTAGTTCATTTTTATTTATGCCTTTGCTCTGCAATGTGTGTTTTATAGGGTTCCCAGGAGCAAAGTGCATCACTTATACCCCTTATGTAAAATACAGGATGTTAAGTGACAGAGACACATTGAGACTGGCCAACTCATTTATTGAGATAATGATATAAACCAAAAGGGATCAATGCTACCTGGAGTGCCCTCCAGAATTATTCTTATACTTTTGACTAAATAGAAAGAAAAAAACATAAAACAACAGAAAGATCCACAGATTGGCTATTGTATTCTAGTTAAAAATTCAAGACCTGTCATGCTGCATGCTGTTAATAACATGGTACAGAGCAAGGTCATATTTTTGATGTATAATTTAAATCAAGAAAACATGAAGGTCGCATTTATTTGCACATATTTTGTAAATGCTCTTCTGGATTAGATAGTAAGATGTCTCATATATGTGGTATGAAGTTCTAACACAACCTAAATTATTTTTTTTTAATGAAATTTAATGTTTTCAACCTGCTGGAATTGCTATAGGGCTTTCAAACTATTTGGTTTTTGTTTGTGAACTGCCTCATTGACTTCAAACCACAAATGTTTGAGCTCATAAAATAGAGCTCTGGAGATTGAGATGGAGAGTCAAGAACATTTATTTTCTGTATAATTATCCATTTCTTGGTTGAATTGGATATGTGATTTGGATCATTGGTATGCTGGATTGTCCATTTTCTTATGTGTTTGCATTCAGATTTTTGTGGAGCACAATAACCATTCGTTAAAAGTTAGTTCAGGAGGAAGGTGAGATCCTAATCTCACACTCATCCACACCCCTACAAATATATGTCTTGCACACACACACAGGACTTTCTTTCATGTACAGTAGCTGTCTGGCCCTCCACCCTCTGGCCCTCTTTGTCTATCTGTGGATAAATGTGACTTTTACGTTTTCCAGGAGTGCAGTATGGCTCTTGTAGATGAAGACATTTGTTGGAAACTGGAATAATTTGAGGATCTTTCTCCAAATCCTGACCTTCAGATGATCCATTTTAATTGTATCCATAGAAATGACTTAACTACTTGTAGATGTTTCCCCAATGGAAATTATTGACACAATGAGGTATGTTCTTTGCTTTCAGGGAGCAACAGGAACCTATTTCCATATGATTTGGAAGTGTTCAGATATTTATATATTTTGGTGTAAATCTCCTCCAGTTCACTCCTACTACAGTTATCTGATGGGGATACGAGAGTTCTGTGGGGAGTCAAGGATAGAGGAGGTTTCTTGGATGGCAGACTGGGGGGAAGGGAAGGGAGAGGCAAAGTTGTTAGAATAAGATTTTGCTATTCCCTGTGCTGTTACTTATGTTGTCTTTTTCTTTTTTCCCAATCAATGACATCAAATTTGTTACAAGAAAGAATGGGTTGTCAAACTAACTTGGCTATAAGCAACTGCAATCATTGTTGCAGTTGTTTACCTACAGTATTTGTTAACATCTCAATAGTGGCTTGATTCGAACGCTTTACTTTTATGTTCGGTGTAAGCTTAAAAACATTTTTTTATAGCAAAATAAACAAAATTGCCCCTTTTATCACTAAATAGACCTCTATTCTAACTCTAAAAATGTTAAACTATGCAAAATTAGACTTCTGTAGAATGAAAAAAGTAATTAGAAAATACAGCACCTATGCCAAGGAATGAAAGCTTAACCTTTTTGACAACATTATCAGCTGAAATCTGTGATTAATACCACTATCTATAATGTGGACTTGAAATTCTGAAAGTTTTGGTTCTCCATTCGTGCATGAAAAGGCAGGAACAAAATAGGCTTTTATAAAATTGGAGAAAAATTATACAGTACATGTAGTCAAAATTAAAGTGACCTGAAATATGATATGTTATGTTCAGTGCAATCTGCATGTGTTGTAGCATGGCAAAACAAATAATATAAAAAAAATAAGATTGAGACAAGCCAAAACTTGCATTTGCTTGGACTGAATCTCTCATTTTTGTCACTTTTTCTTTTTAATAAAAAAGTGGAAATCGTTATAAAATTGCATGATAATACAAAGTGGAGTCTTTAAAATAACTATTCTTACATTTGTCTTGAAAAAGCAGCAATAAAGGGGTTTAAGTGTAATGAAGTTTATGAATTTGATTTTTTCAATATTTTAATGATATACATGTAAGCACACATTAGACTTTTAACAAATGACAAATTGTAACAAATTTAGCAAGGTACTGAAAATTGTGTCATTATACTCAGTACTCAGTACAGCTTAATACAGTATTTCATACCATTTGCTACCTACTTTTTATGAAACCTTATTTTATTTCTTATCCTTTGTAAACTGTTTATAAATTTTCATTCGTTTAATTATTTTAATAAAAATGGTGTCCAGTTTTATAACTCTTCTCTTAGAGAATAAACAAAATTAAATATAATACATGATTTAAAAGCAGGATTTTGTTTTAGGTATATATTGGGAAATAGGACTTTTTTTAACTTGAGCTTTGCTTTGATTTTACCCTGCCAGAGCTAAAGAAAATTTCAATCAAGACTTTTTATGCTGTAAATTAAATTTTTCTTCCGAGCAGTTGTTAGTAAAATACATATATTAAAACAGACCATGAATAATAATTGAAAGGCATCTTTTTGTTGAAGTTCACAACTGATTGATATATGTAGTCTGTAATTACCTGGTTTCTTTGAGTGGATCAGTGACTTTGTATATGTGTTACCAATTAGAAATATACTTATTTTTTATTTTTGTTGTTTAATGCTAAAAACTATTCTGAAAATGTATAAAGACATTTTTTCTTAACTACCTACTGTGGTACTGAAGAAGAGATTTTATATACAGAGATTTTTTTTCTTATTGTTGCAATGATAAATTTGAAAAAAAAAAAATGATTCCAGATACAGTATATGGGCAGAAAGCCTACCTACCTAAATGAAATTTGCTACCTACTTAGTAAAAAAATTATTCAGAATATTTTGTGTGTAAAAATAATTTTGTGCAAAACTGTGTAATTTTGGAGTTCTATGTTAAACACCCATTATCAAAATTGTAAATTTACTGCTTCTGTCTTCAGCTGGAATATTTTAATTTCATGTATACTGTAAACACTGTTTCACATGATTGGTTTTGTTGTTTACTTGTTTCTCTGCATTTGATTAAACACTGTCAAATAATGCCTAACTCTGTGGAGTGTGTTACTGATCAAAGCAGAAAGCCTAGAAGCAATACTGTACTTACATCAGCTTGAGGTGCAGAACAAAATGCTAATTAATTCTCTTTAATATGTATTAATATTAATTATCCATTAATAGCTGCTGTTATTGGTACATAGAGGGCAGCTAACTACAGTATGCTTTGCAGAAATAGAGAAATATATTTTGGATCCGACAGACAAGATTGTAAGATAGTCATGTGTAAACTAATGCTTTCATAATTTCCATCATTTTAATTATAGTATTTTGCTTAATTATGAACAGAATAGCAAAGGAAAGAGCAAATTACTTTTTAATGTGTATGTTAATGTGTTTGTGTGTGTGCCTTTAGTGATCTATTACATCCACAGCTTTATTGTGGATGGCAAAATCAAAACGTGTGCCATGGTATCAAAACACTCAGATGTACAATAGAAGATCACATTAAATACTTTTTTTAACATGTTAGATTGCTATAGTATATTATCCTATGGTTTATAATTTCCCAGGTTCTTAAAGGTTTTGAGCTTTTCTAATTTTAATATTGCAAATGGCAAAATTATAATATTATTTTTAACCTATCTGTCACGCTCCCTGCAGCCAGAGGGTGTTCCTACTCTGTCCTGTCCCTTGTTTCCTGTACTTTGCTCTCCTTCTGGTGTCTCTCTCTCTGGGGCTATATATTTCTGGGTCACTTATTCTACTGCGCTCAGCATTGACGTTCGGATGTCCTGAGACCCGCCATCCAGGTTGACCAACATCCAACATCCATGACACATTTATATAAAACCAGGAATTCTGTTACCTTAAAAGGCAACATTTTGTAGTGCTTATGTCCACATCATTTTGTTCTGCTCTTTAGCCATGACTTGGATGGCTCTATTGTTTGACAGTGATCCTTGGTCTAAAATAAAAGCATTATGTAGCTATGGGCTCTTGTACTTTGTGGTCAAAACTGTTCTATATACAGTACAGTATGCTTGCTACAAGATATGGTGGTAAACTCAACTTAGAGAATGCCAGCCTGCCTTTAAGGGGTGTTTGTCCCTTTTCTTCCCTGAAAACAACCATCTGTGAATTGTGGTAGGTCTACTTGTGGTAAGACTGTCTAAACAAATTGACACAAAAATTAGCAAGTCAGAGCCAGTTATGTTAAAAATGTATATATCTCCAGATTTTGGCAACACAAATTAAATTATTTGCAAGCTTGTTCTGTATGCCTAAAACATAAAAAAGTTTGAAAATAAGTTTGCAAACTGTAAATGTCAAGAGGAAATGTTTTTATTTTTACACTATTTCTCAAGTAATTTTCTCTTTTAAAAAAAACACAAAACAAATTCATAGCCATTAATATGTAGCAGGCATGTCCTTCAGTCAGATATATTAAGCCAAAGATGGTTGGCTTGGTTTCATTGCTGTATAAAATGAGAAATCAGAGTACATAATTATCAGATGGAAATGGTTCTCACAGCTACAATAAATCAGACTTTAGGCAAAAATGTGTGAGCCCACCAGTTTAATGTGCTTTGGTTAGATCATAGTGTTTCAACATTGCACAGAATCAAAGTACTGTAAATCACACTGAACAACATTCACATTAGAGTTTTGAAATTTGAGTGGATAAAGTGGCTTTAAAACACAAGTTAGCAGAGACTATAGATGATAACTATTACTTTTATGTTTAGGAGGTTTGCTACTTCTAACTGCTAATGTGACTACAAACTGTATGTGTTCCTTTGTTTTTTAAAACATCATAACTTGTGGAATGTGAACACTGTATGCATACTACTGTATATACATATATTCATGGCCTCACTTCAAAAGAAATTTCTTCATATCCTGCTGCACTTGCAATTCATCTGCTACTTGAAACTTCATCAGTCAAAGGATTCATTAAACTTACTGTTCCTGTGGTTTTTAAATATAATAATAATTAATAATAATAATAATAACCGCTTACACTTATATAGCGCTTTTCTGGACACTCCACTCAAAGCGCTTTACAGGTAATGGGGACTCACCTTTACCACCACCAATGTGCAGCATCCACCGGGATGATGTGACGGCAGCCATAGTGCGCCAGAACGCTCACCACACATCAGATATCAGTGGGGAGGAGAGCAGAGTAATGTAGCCAATTCATAGAGGGGGATTATTAGGAGGCCATGATTGGTAAGGGCCAATGGGAAATTTGGCCAGGACGCCGGGGTTACACCCCTACTCTTTTCAAGAAACCCTAGGATTTTTAATGACCTCAGAGAGTCAGGACCTGGGTTTTCATCTCATCCGAAGGACGGCGCCTGTTTACAGTTTAGTGTCCCCGTCACTATACTGGGGCATTAGGACCCACATGGACTGCAGGGTGAGCATAACACATAACATATCACATATGTATCTTAATCAGATAGGATTGGATGTCTCACTATTGGTCATTTGATTCAGTGCCATTTACAGAACCTTCAAATAAATTGCAAAAACAGAAGATGTCATTTCTCTTTTAGACTTTCGTCAATTCAAAAAAATGTGGTTGTTTGCTTACCTTTATGCATTATACAAAGATAAGGTAAGATGAACACAGGGAATTAAAGTAGACAGCAGATGATGCTCTCCAACCCCTTCAGTAGCTTGTGCACAAATACAGAGTTCAATTTTGTTACCATGGCAATGTTATATTAGTTTCATTCTAATGTAAGGTGGCTTGAACCCTGATTTGAATCACTCACAATTGTACTTTAACTCAGAATATACCCTTTTCAGCTTTGCGTTAGGCAGGAGAAACAGAAATTCCCTTCTTGCAGTCATTCTGCATTGACAAAACAATACCGATTAAGAATATAGTTATTACACATGCAGCATTTTTGCATTTGTTTCTTGTACACATTTTTCATTACTTTCTATAGCTAACCTGGAATAAAATAATTCTAATAATAAAAATAAAGTTGGCCACATTCCAATTTGAAGACTGGGTTATCAGAAAATTACCTATAGCCCATTTCCATGCAATCATTATTTAAATATATGTCCTCTATAATATGTTACTTTAAGTTACTTAGTGTTATTATTTTATCATTTTTATATATATGCTTTTTACTTTTATGACCATGCTATATAAAATCATCTCATCCCCAATTTAGGACATTAAAAGGTCTGAAACATACAGTAGAAACCCCCAAACTGGATTTATCTGTTGTTGCTACCAAGAGCCTCTGCACTAAAATTCTTCAGGATGAAGTCTAGAAATGCATTGGAGGGCAGCTATTAAAAGGTATGTGGATTCAAGCTTACAAGTTGGATTTACAAAGTTCACAACTGCTCGATTGATTCTCTGAAAATTATATGTGAAGGGATGCTTGGCGAGTTGCAATAACTTAGCCCATATGGTGATGTACAGCTACTCTTTTTTGCACTCTCTACATTCCCCTTACCTGCAAACATTTCCCTGCTGTGCTTTTGTTCTCTGCTTTTCTTTAGATCAATGATGAACGTCTACCCTAGACAGGTAGTTAAAACAATCTGTAAGGAAGGGAAAACGTATGAAGGGCTGGGAAAACACAGGGATTTTTCAGCCTAAATCAAACGCTGTACAAGGTTGACTTGGCACTTTCGTTACATTTAGATTTTTTCTCGTTATATTTAATGTGTTTTCCTGAATGTATCCTACACTACTTAAAACTTTGAGCCACTTGAGGTGTCAGTGAAAAAAGGAAATAGCCTCAGCAAAAACCCAACCTGAATCTCATGGTATTTTTTCACCAATGACAAACAACTAGATGAAACATTCCAAGCACAAGTCCAAAGTTTAGTAACAGTGTTGTGCTAGTGGACAGTAAACAGATCCTTTTGTTGGACGAAATGCTGGCTTGGAAAAGGTACACAAGCAGATTTGATTCTCTGAGATCTTAATTGAAACCAGAATCTTTTAAATCCCAGTGCTTAAATTAACTACAAGACTGCATGTCTTCAGCTATTATAGGCATAAAACTACCCAATCCTACAATCGTGTTCAATTTTAAATAAAAATTGAAAGTGGCTTTGTACTTTGCTACATGAATCCTGAGATAAGCTCCCTATGTTTGTTTTATGCAAAGTCTGACCTTGTTGACAAGCCAGTTGACATTGCCAAAGAAAGTTTTATCCCACTGCCCATGAAGCATTTTAAGTTTGCTGATGCATGTAACTTGGGAATGTGTCTGGCTCTTAGTTTTGGATGACATCTAGCAGCTCTGGAATTAAGAGACATACACACACGTACACATGCTCAGACATAGCAGATCTGACTCTCATGCTGTCCCTGGAGACACAGGGATTTCAAATTAGGTTCTGGGTCTCCAAAATTGTAATGTCAGACTCCAAGCAGATGATTTTATACCCTGAGGTGGAAATTAATAACCATATGTCATACTTCACTCAATACACAGTACCATGCATATTGTAAATATAACACGTCCCAAAATAATGACACAATAGTATTAACATATAATGACAGAATTATATATGAACATGTTCTCCTTCCCCTCAGCAACATTATGATCCATATATTGCTCCTCAGAATACCCTAAAATGTAAACATAGTTGGCTATATTGCTGTGATACTCCAGCTACATAAAGGACACGGATCCTAAAAATACTGTATTGTTTGGTCCCTTGACCAAAAGGACTATAATTTTTTCTGTTCTGAATATTAACAATATGCATCTGTGCTTCCAGACTAGATCTTAATTCCCTGCTAATTTTACTAAATGGTTAATATAACTTCATTTAGTTGTATATTTTTCACAATAGCCTTTTTCTCCTGTGTTGTAAGGTGTTGTTTATTGATAACTAGTAAACTGTAAGACCTCTAGGAAACCAGAGTCTAAGGTTTTGGCTTCCCATATCCCAGTTATTTCTGTAAAGGTATCCCACATGGGAAGCTATCCCTCTTTTTAGTCATACCTGCCTTCGGTAAAAGTGTGGTATTGCATTAATTATTAACATAAATATTAAATTAAAGATATTCCTTTAAGCATATAAGCATATATAAGTTATAGCAGATATACTGTAATGTCAGTGTTATTGCACAAACTGTATAATTCACCTTTTCATCATCAAATTCCTTCAGATTTATACTGAAAGTTTAAAATTGCATTTTGAAGGTGCTTCAAATCCAACTCTTAATGGAAAACAAACCAAAATTGCCAAAACAGACATAAAAGCATACTGTAATTTAATACTGCTTCTAAAACACAGCTCTCGGCTTTATAATAAAATTGTGTGTTGATATATACAGAATGTCTTCATTAAAGAGCTGGACTAAATGTGGCACATTTTAGTCTCAGTTTTGTTTTTTGGAAAAGTTCTGTTTACCCAATTTTGCATTCTGAGGGTACAAAAATTTATATTTGAACACCTTAAAAACACATTCTTTACAGTGATAAGTGTTTACTTTAGGACAACCTTCAAAAATTGTACACTACCAATAATGTATTGAGAAAAAACTATATTGCTAACACTATAACATTACAGAAAAAAGGTTGTATGTTTAATTGAGTGTGCAGAGAAGTATGCTCTATAGATATTTGATGTAGTTGACTGTGTATTTATAAACAGCTCTGTCTGTTATGACAGTTAAGATTGCTGCTTATAAGAAATGTATTTGTCTGTTCGCTTGAAGATCACTGCCAATATATCATCTTTCATGTATTCTTTAAATGCATTTGTCCCTGAAAAGGTGGACCACACTTGCCTAATGGATAAAACTAAGAGAACTGGACATTTAATATGTGAATATAAACACAAAACTTCATTACATACTATATAAAACAGATCCACAAACATTCAAATGTCAACAGGTTTACAGAGATACAGCAAACAAGAAAGCCAAGATGGGGTATTTCACATAAGAAAAATAGCATTAGTGACTACAAAGAAAACACATACAACTTTAGGTGGTGGAATAAACACCTTGTAGCTTAAGAAAGACCAGAGATTCCAGTTTCTAACATCTGAGACTTTACAATGAATAATACAGGTGTGAAGATAAACAACACAGAAAAAATACACAATAATAAAAGCTTCACATGCCAGAAACAGCTTTGAAATGTGAAAAATAACAAATGTCATTTTAATCATATCTTAGAGGTTTTAATCATTCAGCTGAATTCCTCTAGGATTTATTTTATGTAAAGTAATTATAATTTTATATTGCACCCTTAACTTAAAATTAATTTGCCAAAATTTATAAGTTTTAAATGTCACCAGTAAGAGTAAATGTGAAAATGTTTCCATGGGCACCTTAATTTTTTTATTTTATTTTATATAAAGTCAGTGAGCAAATAAAAAGGAACGATATGGGAGCGGGTGTTAAAAATGTTAAAGTCTTCAGCACTCAGAGTTGAATACCTTCAATAAATTAGTATTAAAGCAGTGAACTATTTAAGAACAAGCATTGTCTTCATTATCATTACTGTTATTGACCCACTAGGTCTTTTCTAAGAACTTCCTGAGCCACAAGATTAGCTTATTTCTATAACTGTATACTGTATAGCTATATTTGTACAATGAAGAATAATGAGGACAAGATAGTCAATCAGATTTAATAATGAGATTATAAGAATGTCTCTGCATTTTCATTTTTTCTAGTATACTGTATGCGACATCTATTTGTATGACCCTGTCTTATGTTTTTTACCTGCTATGCTATCAATTTAACAGGTTAACTATTCAATCAAACTACTCTAAATAAAACTCTTAAAACCTTGCTGCATGGAATAGCACTGAATGAGCACGTCCAAGATATTGGTAAATGTTATGGTGCAGCACTGTGCATGACCTCATTTTACCTAATTTCCTAACAAGTAAGAACTCCAATCATGGAAAAACACAGATGGTACACACTATTTTGTGATACACTTCATTTAAAGAATGGTTTACATTTTCTATAGCTAACCTGGAATGCTAAGAATGCTTTAATCAGAATGTTTCTTATAGCAGGCATATTTTACAATTCGAGATCATGCATTTAACAAATTTTAGAATATTCACGAAAAATGTAAGATGGTAAAATCACGTTAGAAAAATGGCACAATGTGTTCCATTTGACTGTTTCCTGATTTATCATGCAGTTAAAGCTGTGGGCTACAAGAATGGTAACTGTCATTGCCAAAAAAGCAAGAAAACAACCAGATTTCTTTCTTTGTGATGGCAGCAATGTTGACTTAATTTGACACATACTGTAAGTGTGTTACTTATGTAAGTAAATCTTTAGTTAAACGGGAATCATGCCATTACATACAGTAGCTGTTATAGTGGTGACTTTGAGACAAGAGACAAGGTGGTGACTTTGGGAATATAATCTGTTTTACAGAAACGTATTGCAGCCATTTTCACATAAATTTTAGGCATAGGTTGAATTAAGCACATTTTTGCAATTGCATCACTGTCAGTGCCTACAGTACCTACAGTAGCAACTTTGCTCATGCATTTATGATCAAATATATAGATATTCCAATCTAATCTGCATACTCTGAAAATAATCAATACGATCCTACATATTTGGCTCAAAATAATACATTAAGAGTACACAAAGTTCAAAAACACTAATTAAGACAATTAGAGAATTTCTTTACAAGAAGACTAAAAGGAATGATGAGATGTTCCCAGAAAATCAATTTAGCTTGAAGCATGTTTTGCAGTGTGGGAGTAGGATACAGTACTAGACACTAGCACATAGACAGTGAGATCACATTGGAGACATTTTATATGAGGAATAGACCCAGCAGAATTATTTTAAAAAACTGTGAATTGAAATTGGCTTTACATCACAGACACACGCAGAAGGTAAGCCAAATGTCTGTTTTAAATCATCACTCTTTTACACAAAAGTTGTTTCAAAGGTAAAAATGGCTATAATAAAATAAAAGTTCACCTTTTCCTCAGCTAATCAAATCAGTTGGGTTTTTTTCAATTTGCAATGTAGAGCAAATAGGTCTCAACGAAAGGAGATTTTCTCTAAACTGTTATCAGATGACTTTAAGGGCTGTTTCTTTCACATTCAATATTCACATGTTTTTAATACAAGCATGATGAATGGTAAAGTTCTGTGAAGGTAACAATCCAGTGACAGACAGGAAGTAAATAAGATGAAAGGCTTGGGTTTAAAGAGGAGATAATTAAGGAACAAAATGCTGCCAACAAAGTATAATACACACACAAAAACAGAATACTTAGAATTTGTGCAGCTTTTGTGTTTGCTTTGTCAGGGGAAGAGACTTCTTACCTATCATTTTTATTTTCAAGAGTGTCAGCAATCAGAATCTGTAGCTACATATAATTTTCCTTACATGGATATAGTTGTCCAAAGTATTGAGCATGATAAAATCCTGCCAGGGTCAAATCATGCCTTGAAGAAAAAATGCCTCAGTACAGAAATACAGAGTTTCTTTTGTCAAATTCAGTCTATTTTTTTATGACAACATATTTGTGTTGTGTAGTAGATGGATGTAAAAGTTTAAAAGACGAAAACCTTTTATGGAATATTTTTACATAGTGGTTGTCCAGGAATATATGTTTACTGTATCGACCCCATTTTAATTGGGTAAAAAATATAATGTGAAGCTTAAACAGATGAAAAGTTGTAAAGGTTCCCAGTTTGACTAATAAAGTTTATTTCTTTGTTTTTTATTTTCATTTCAGCAAAAAGAAAACGAAATGCAACCTTTAATGGTCCAATCAGAAAAGTAGTGGCTGGACATGGTGTCATGATTATAACACGAAGCTCACATAGAGAGCACCACCACTTGAAAATACAGAAACATTATAACATCATATTAAGGCATGTACATTGATAGACTCACTGAAAAACAATACATTTAACATAACCCATTAAAATATAGAAACAGAAAACGAGAACCGGGCAATTCATTTTGAGCATCATGCCATAACACATTTGTACAATACATTCAGCACTCAGTTCACACTCATTGATCCCAAGCAGAACCTATATCCTGGTTCATGTCAAAGGAATATGATCCCTAGAACACAGCTCCAATCTCAGAATGTGTGACCTGTATTCTGCCAGGAGTTGATCATTTTGAACTCTAAAGAGAAAAAATGACAAAGGTATTCAGTTTTTACCCATATATGACACAGTGCAAAAGGTTAAATTAATTATACGCAGAAAAAGATGTGTCGCAAAAGTATTCACCTACTTCCAATAATGTCCCAAATTGCAGAATTAGAAATGATATATCATGTTTTTTAACAAATATTGTCAACCAAACCTTGAATCCTCAATCTGTTCTTTTAATAGATTAAATAAATTAAATGTTAGCAAAAACTGCAGAGAATTATACATTAAAATGATTACATAAGTATTTACTCTTGGTAAACTTAAATTGACCCAAGAGCACAAAATTGTCAAGTTACTCAGTTGAGTGTTGTCTGTCTGCAACAATCGTGATTCACATGATTTCAGAAAAAAATGCCCTTGTCTCTGTACAGTCCCTCAGTCAGGTAGTGAATTTCAAGCAAAAACTGATCTATGGAGACCAAACTTTTCAAAACAACTCACAGGTAAAACTGCAGAAAACCATAAAACAGGAACGGGGTATACAAAATTAAAAGACACTTGAATGCAGTATCTCCTTGAGCATGGTGAAACTGGTTATGAAGAAAAAGGTATATTATACAATGCCAATATTATGTGGATCAGGATGTTCCTCTAAAACTGCACAGCTAGACAAGGAGGAAACTGGTTAGGGTTGCCACAGGGAAGCCAGAGACAATCTTCAAAGGTGTTCAGTGACTTAGGAGAAAATGTCCAATGAGTCATCACAACACACAAAAACAAAAACCTGGCCTGAATGTCAGATTGGCAAAACCATCTCAAGTCATGGAGACTGCAACAAAGCTTTTAACGGAGCTCTAAAGACATGCCAAGGGTTTTGTGGTCAAATTAGAAAAAAAAATACTTTTTAGGTCAAAATGGAAAATTGTAAAATGCAAACCCTGTATGGTGCATCACCCACTGTTCCCTACTTTCAGGCATGGTGGTGGCAACATTATGTTGTGGGGCTGCTTCTCATCAGCAGGGACTGGAAGTTCTGTTTTTTTTTTACAGTATAGTGCCCCCATCACTATACTGGAGCATTAGGGTGAGCATCCCCTATTGGCCCCATTAACACCTCTTCCAGCAGCAACCTTAACTTTTCCCAGGAGGACTCCCATCCAGGTACTGGTCAGGCTCACACCTGCTTAGCTTCAGTGTGTTGCCAGTTGTAAGTTGCAGGGTAATATGACTTAAAGTTTTGCCAACTTAAAATTCTGACTTTAATGACTCATTCATAAAAGTGTTCAGTTGAAACATTAAAAATAATCAATTAAAATGTGTATACTGTACATCATTTGTAATTCAACAAAATGGGACATTATTAGAAAGGGGTGAATATTTTTGCAAGGCTTGGAATACCCCGAACACATTTTATCACCAACTGAGCAAAAGAAATGTTTTAAAATTAGATTTAAAATTAGCACTACTGCTATGGTAACTCATAAATTTGACATTCCCAACTATTTTGTAATACATAAAAATTAAAATGCGTATCACACAACAGAGAACTAAAAGCATACACTTACAGTTTTTAAATAAATGTCTTTAAGTGTTACAACAACATTTAAACTTTTTTTTTCTGTTTACTTTTTGGGCTTTGACATCCTGTCAAACACACTGATTGGGAGGGAAAATTCAATGAGCAAAGGCATGACCATCTGTACCTTTTTTATTACATGCCTTCTGTAAGCTGAATTAATTGATCATTCCTATTAATAAACAAAACAAATACTCTACCTCTTCTTTCACATTTAGCACAGCAGAAGCTGGAGATGAACTACAAAGAAATAAAAGATGGATTCAGAATAATTATAGAGATGTACAAAAGTAAAGCATTATTTCAAAATAGCATTGAAAAGCAGCTTTAGTATGAAAACTACTGGCATGTATGTCAGAATGTATGGATGTAACAGCACACACTTTTATACAGGTACTACTTGAAAATTTAAACCAGCAATGAATAGGGTTACTATTATGTAACTTGTAAAAGGATAAAAGGATACAAGTTAAGAGAATACTTTATTGTTACACCATTTTGTTGACGTGATTAGAAATATGTGAAGAGAATAACAACAGTCTATCTACGTGATACTTGTTCTGTACTGCAGACACACCCAGTTCATACGCACTCTTACTGATACTACAGCACCTGACTTAATTACCTAATATATCCCTTTATCAGAACAATCAGTTAGTTTGAGCTAATTCCTGCACAGGGAGGAACAAGGAAATGTTCTTGTCATGTTCGTAACCTTGCATGCTTCTGAATCTATGCGAACTGAGTATTTAAAGTGGGGATTGCCTGGATTGTTTTAAAATATACTTTCATTCCATATAAAAATGGTCACTGTTTTTTATCATTTAATGGGCAAAAATATAAATATAGGTCAAGAAGAAACAAGCACAATAATGTTAAATCAGTTTAAAGAATTACAGTAAGATAACACTTTCAGCCAAGCACAAAATGGTTATTGATTTTGGTCTCAACGCACTATGAATGTGTCTATTCCACCTGAAAACTTTAATGGTTCCTGCTCTGCATCAGAGGCAAGTATAGGAATAATATACTTGGTTTTCCAGTCGCTAAGGAATGGCGACCTTCATGATTATTATATAAAAATAGATTCTGTGTGTGGTTAAATATTTTAATGTTTTTTTCTTTCTTTCTGTATCCAAACAACGAACTCATGGTAAAACTGATATCTGGTGAGCTTTTGCTCTGGGAACAATTATATTTGTAAAATACTTTCTAAATCACGATAACACTATTAAAGGAGAAACTGAAAAAGAAAACTATCTTTTGAACATTTTAAAATTAGATTTATTAATTTCACTCCAGTGTCTTGAAGTTGCCACAAGTTTTCATGGAATAAATAAGTTAAAGATGATTAAAAATGGCCACTTTATATTCACTTATAACAATACAGTACATTTTCATGTTTTTGGCCTTTTCTAAGAATACAAAACATGACTTAAGATCTGTTGTGTCTATTTGTGGCACTTAACTTTCCTGTTTTCTTTTCACAAAAGAAAAATCTGCATTCATCATTACCCCTTTTCAAAATGTAAAATCCAGATAGAGGAAGTGAACACATGGAAAGGAAACATTTATGTGCCAAGTATATTCTATATTATCCGAGTGACAAAGGAAAAGTTGAAAAAAAAGATTTTTCAGAAAACCCTTTAACATGACTTAAAAAGATATTTTCTTCTTGGTTTTCTGCATTAGCATGTAAGCCTTTTCCTAACACACTGTACAGCCTGAACAATATGGTTTGATATATAAAGATCTCAGTAGTATTTACAAGGAGCTGTGTTTTGTTTCTGCAATGATCCTTAAACTTTATTGGTGAAATGGCAAGTAATAAATAACAAGTCACAATACCATTATATTTGAAAAAAAACTGCTGTCTGCAGACATTTCATTTTTTTTCCCGGAAGTCTGAATTTCTAAAATGTGACACCAGTAGAATTCTGCTTTATTCTTGAATTTTTTGACACATTGAAAGTGATTCATTTAGTGGTTAGAAAGTATGTGCATTTTCAGTTAGGAATCCATACACCTCCACAGTCCAATTATTGACAGTCATGAAACTAAACATTCAATGTACTGTATCTAATTTATTATCTAAAAATACTCAAATCAATTTTAATGCATAAGGTTACGTGTACAGTTTAACAACAGATGTAAAAAAAGATATACAGCATCTACAGGCCTATTTAAGCATAACAAATTTAAATTCTGAACTATTGAAGGGTTAAAAGCAACCAGATATCTTGATCTGGCTGGAGTTATTTTGGATTAGCATGGCTGGGTACTAGTGCAAAGGGCAGTTCCTTGGTCATTTGTTTGTCAAGAGGATTTCTGCTAAATAATTTTGTACTTAAAATTCACCCTTAAATGCACAAATTAATAGTGACACATTGAAAAATCTAATGTATGTGCACTTCATCTCATAATCAATTTCATGGTGGCCCAAGACCAATTTCAATGAACCAAAAATTCTTTCAGAGGGCATTTTCTTGGCAGGGGTTCTTCCCCAATTAGCAATTTCCCTGTCAGTTAGCTTGCATAAGTGGTTTTTGGTATGCACGTGTATCACCTGTCTATGTGATCTGGAGCAAAAGTGTGTTCATCTCCCTTGATTTTTATTGAGTGCTGCTGCCAAGCAAAATCCGCATTTTTACATAACAGTTCTCATTGTTTTGCTTTAAGGTAATCATTTTCTGTTCATTAAACATGGCTTCTACCTGAAGTTTGTGTTGTTTATTCATTCTTTAGGTTGAGAACTCAGTGGTGACCTGTTTTAAACTTAATCTAAAATTACATTCATGTACAGCAATTAAAAAGACAAAAGCACAATATAATAAGCAACTTCTACACTGATCTAACCTGCCAAGGTTAAGGCTCTTAAAACAGCCAAACTAAGCATTCAGTTTAAATTACTCATTTCTTTTTGCTCAGGTATAAAGGGAAAACAAGAGCAGACACGTGCTTGAGTAAGTATGTCACTCCTGTATTTGTTCTATCAATTCAGAGATATTATAAACAAATAGCCAGGATTTTGGTTCTTCAGACTAAACTGAGGTCCATATGTTTATAGATCAAATAACATTAGGTCTTAGAGTATAATGCATATTCAAAAACCATGAAAGACTAAAAATGCAGCTGCTTCATAATTATACTGCATACAGCAACCTGTCAATTTACACCTTACACAAAGCCAGAAGACTGGGTGTAAAGGGTTAAGCCAAGTTAAGCTCACCAGGAATTCTTTCTTTCCAGTTTTCCTAACATCCACTTATCGAAAAGTGGGAGAGGGCTTACAACTAGCAACTCAGTGACTTGTTGTACACCTCTGTGAAAAGAACTGAGCAGTGGACTGTGCAGGCTTATCTGAAAGGGGAACACTGCAAAATCTTGATTCTGTCTGCTAAACTTGATGACAGATCACTTATATGCATAAATGTTAAAGGTGACATGCTGACTATAAGATGAGATGTTTTTTGTCAGCATCACCACTATGACCATCTTCTACATCACCATATGCACGAAGAGTAATCACAAGCAAGATTCACTTATATAGGATCTAAAGAAACCTAAGGTTGATACAAAACACTATCCAACATCAAAGGACAGTAGTAATTTGTCTGATGCTAAAATCTGCCAAAACCAGAAAAATAAAGAGCTCGTTTAAGAGCTGTAAAGGCACACTAGATCACAAATCTACTTGTTTAATAGGGAACTATTGCTCATTTGTTACACTAACAGAGGACAGCTGTCCACTTGAACCCAAATTTAAAAATGGGAATCCTGATGTCACAGTTGGTCACTACTTATGTTTTCATGATTATCAATCAAGAATTTGGAGGACCTTAACCATTTCCACTTGGAAATCAGCATGCAAAGTGTGAAGGATGAGAACAGAACCCTTTCCTTTTCAGAACCCCACCGCCAAGCACACACAGTACTTCAGCTTCATTTACTGCAGAGAAAATAATGATAAAAATAAGGTTTCATTTGAAAACTCATCATCTAAAAGACATACAGCTGTGCCCCAGATACTGCACCAGTTGTACAATCCTAATGGATGTTGGCAACAAAAAAAACAACCATTTTCTTTTCTAAGACATTTCTTAATAGCGATGAAGAAAAAAAAACACTTACCTCACGATTTGTCTTGAGGCATTCTCGAAAAACTTGGCTTTGGAAGCAACACTAGGGAAATAAAAACAGGAAACCCTTTCAGACGATCAGCGATAAATATCTTTATTGCCAGTCAGACTCAGATGAAAAGCTATCCAGTCCAATAACAACAAATATACAACTGACAGTTTGAGAGAGAGCATTACCTTCGATTTATTTGCCCACCCCTGAGTTCAATTAACTCCTTTGACCAAAAAAGGACAAAAAGGGAAACTAATGAAATGACTGTAAATTTTATGTACATCCTTTACTATAGACCAGTTCGAAAGTAAATTTACTTGGTACTGACAACACTTCTTACGGGATTAGAATTTTAGCTTAGGAGAAACACTCAATCTGAAATATAATAGGTCATATTAAGTGATATAGAGTGGATATAAAGTAAACCTTCAGTGAAGTGAAATACAGTAGCTCAATTCAATTATTTAGAACATGGTATTGCATTTTGTTTTAATTGCCTATTCTCAAAAGTGCTCTCAGACACTAAGATTCAGTGTCTGAAAAAATGATCAATTAATGATGATAATAAATGACTGTTCATTCAATAACTTTTACATGCACAAATTCTGTGCTTTCATAGTCTCAATTTTTTGCAAGCACTCAGTAAAATAAAAAAGACAAAGTGCATTTCCTTATGTTGTATGTGACCTGGCAGTATTCAACCAGTGCTAGAAAAGTTGTCAAAAGGAGTTAGAGGAAACCCAATACCTGCTGCATTTACATAACAGCAACAGAAACTAGGTTTGGCATTTTAACAAATAAATAAAACACATCTCAAAACAGTCAAATTTACAGTAGGTGTCAACTGTGCTTTGTGGACTATTGCTCATAGAAAAAGTGTCTGTAACCCCTTTAAATAACATTTTTTCTATGTTGTGAACCTTTATTAGATTTTCTTTTTACTTTTGGTGATTTTAATTTGGTTATTGTTAAGAATAGAATAGTTTAATTTCTGTCTTTGAAAATTAAATAAAAAATAGATGCACAATACCAGAAATTAAATACAGTTTTGAGGCAAGAGTCTTGCATAAAAGTGTGGAAAAAGTATGTTTAACAGACATATTCTCTGTAATGATTAATTAAACCAGGGATTCTGCCAACAAAGAACAAGATACAAGATGTGGTTTGTGTAAGGTAATTAAAAAAAACATAGTTTTCTTTAGCCTTTGCAGCTTCATTTTTTTGGGTGTCTTTAATTGTGAAATAGAGCATAAATCTCTTGGTTTTCATTTTTTGAATATAAACAGTATATAGTATGTTCATTTGGCAGTGCTGTTTGTTGGGCCTAGTGTAATGAAACACTGACTCCATTGAAACACACTCCCTCAACATTTTGATTAAATGCTCATAAGTGGGGGAAGGGATGTTGGCATGTCACTCTGCAGTTTTAAAAGCAAGTTTCCCCAGGCAGGGAAAGGCTGAGAAACACTGACCTAAATGTTGTGTGGCACAGACACAGAATGTCTGGAAGTGTACCATTGATTATCGGTCGACTGAGCAGAAATCTGCTCAATGAGGTAGAGATACATAATTCCTGATAACATCTTTATAAACATTTCAAGTCTTAAATAGCAAATAGCCCAGAATGGTTGACAACAGCATGAATCTGACATTTGTTAACAGGTCAGAGGTATATTTTAATAATGACCCCTATTATTTTGATATACAGTATGCTGCATTTTTTTACTTCAGAAATTAAATTCCACCCTCCCCGCAAAAGAGAAACAAAAAGCTCGACATGCTCTGTGATCACCCCCTTTCTTGTCTTGCACTTTCAGTTTAGTAACCTGTCGCCAGAAATTAATAATGAGTTTCTGCATCTTATTTTGGCTTTAACCTCCCACTCCCAGTCCTGTTCCCAGAGGGCAAAATTCAGTTGCTGAGCATGTTCCAACCGTGAGATATCTATTTTAGAACAAATGCTAAATACCTCATATGCAGAATACAGAATGTGCATTTTTCTTAGGACGGAAGACTTTTTTTCATCAAAGGATACTCCATTTCCAATATGTTGTTTTCCCAAAATCACAGACATTGTTGTGTTATTAAAAAATATAGTGTTATAAAATGAAAATATTTATTATTTACATTGTATAATTCTAGAATAAAGCAAAATACAGAGTTTGAAATAAAGACTATTCAAAACAGCTGTATGTGTCTGACATCACTAAAGTGTGAATAGTGTTCCTCATTTTTAAAGGCTTTTTATGACCTCCCTTTAAAAATTCTTACCGTTTTTACTAGATCCTATTTATCAAAATATACTGGTTGCTATGATTGATTGCAGGATGGGCTTTTTTCATCTGAAGCCATAATTATTTAAAAAAAACATTGCTGTGATTAGTTAATACTACAGAAATGTCAGTTCTGTTAATCAAGATTGTCAAATATCTCATTCAGAAATCAAAATAAACAAATGCTCAACTTTACACACATAAATCAATTAATAAACCGCATCATTGAACTGCTGAAAGTGATCAGCATCACCTGTAAAAACTGCTTTAGAGATTGGTGAAGCAAAACACCACGCCTCTGAGTGTAAAGTATCTTAACTTGTAATTAGCAGGGAAACAGATTTGGCAAAAATGTGAAGGGATGACACGTGGCAAATAAATTAACACTTAAGATGTGGAATAATATTTACGAAACATGAAGCCCAAGCCAATGTACTGTATATTATCACAAATTGTGACTCCTGTTATTAATAAAAACATTTACCTATACTGTATGAAATGACATGTAACTTTTGTATTAACATAAGGAAACCTACAATTTAAAAGTTCACAAGTTATGTTATGCTGTATGTTGCCTATGAAAGACATTTATGTACAATACTCTTAAAAACTAATTAAAGTGTATCAGTGCAGAAATCCCCAAATGCTAATAACAACCTTGTCAAATATTCTGAATGCAGTTTAGCACCACTATAAAAAAAAAATACTGTGAGAAGTGAATGTTTAATTCCCAGGCAAAAACACTTCCAAATATGTTTTATATTGAATCTTTGTTATTTCAATTTAAAAGTCATATATACCGTATAACACAGGATAGATTTTACTCACTAAGATACAGTGGTTTCCTCTGTGGCACCTAAATTTGGTGGTTTTGCCGGTGCTGGACATCTAGTAGGTGGGTCAGGAGGTCTCATTGGAGGCCTGGTGATCATGTGCTTCTCTGATGGTGATTTCACTTTTAATACACTGTCCCCATCCCCTGCAAGGCAAGGATCACAAAGATTTCATCTCAATGCTCATATCACAGAATTCAACCTGCAGTCAAATCTGACATAACGGAACACTGTTAAAAAGAGAAATTCACTGTTTAATATCAATACACATATTTCACTTGCTCACCTAAAAAGAACTGGAAATGACTATACACCCTAAATTAGGCTGAATAGGTATTGTGAATGTAACTTTCTACCCACTAAAACTACAATATGTTTAATCTGAATGATTTAAAAAGCAAGCCAAAAAAGATACTTTTAGTAAAAACAATATATATCTTATGTTCTGCCTAGAATTGCTCCTTCTTAACATTGTGATTAAACACTTCGGAAATGTATTATTTTGCTTTTAAAATGAAAGATGCCACCACTGTACATTAATACTTGAAAATAAACAATAAGTGCTTATACCCACTCCCTCCTTGTCAAAGACAATAGATGTGTCTCTCCCTCTCTGAGTAAATTCGGTGATTCATGACAGCTTTAATTTTCCCATTCATTCTCTCATACACACTCATAATATAATTGGAGAGGCACCTCAAATTGTGTTCAATGTCATAAATAAAGCAACTTAAAAATGTGAGCGACTTCTTACTGTCTTTTGTGCATGGCAAAAATCTAAATGTCAAGAACAGGGGAAGCCTTGCTTTGGGATGGAAAAACGCGTTTTCCCTCTTTACCAGAAGCTGTGCTGCGAGGGGGAGGTTTTCGATTCTGAAAAGAAGATGCTCTGGTCACATTGATGCTTGTCTCCCCATTGGCCGTTGCATTATCAGGTTTCTGTCCCCCATCCTGCAGCCTAGCCACCAATTTCGCAACGTCAGAGTCAGAGTGTCTTTCAGGACGATGGGCCACCTTAGGCACCAAGGCCTGTTTTTGTCCAGACTCCTTGACATTGACATGGGGAACATAGTTTGCTAATTTTGTCCGCTGGAGTGGAACAGGGCTGGCTTGAGAGGTGTCATCTGTTTCAGTTCCATCTGACTTGCCGCCATTTTCAGCATCAATGTTGGAGTCAACTGTTAAAGAGCATAAAGCAAAAAAAAAACAGTTTGAAACCACTCAGGACTTTTCCTCCTCTCTCCCTACCCCCAAAGAGAGCTTACAAGCTCATTATTTGGCCTCAGCATTATATCAGATCAAACAGAACACACATCATTATGTCAGATCAAACAGAACACATTCGCCATAGCTAAAACAGACTTTTAAACTTTCCCTTACTGAGGGGAGTCCTGAGTCCCAAGTATGGGTCTGGTGAAAACTAACAATATCGTTCATATCTCCCATAAACATTACATAAGAGGTTTCATTAAGTCAGCTGTTAAGCTGTCAGTTAAGAAGGCACAAAAACTTGCACAGAACATTAGAAATAAAACAAATTTTAAATTGAGCAGATCCCTCAAAGTTAACAATCTTCTATAATTGCTCTAGTGTAGGCAAGTTTCAACACTGCTGTATACTGTACATATGCTCCTTAATTTGCCAGATTCTTGAAGAGCTTTTTTTAACATCTAAAGAAAAATCTGAAACAAAAACAAAACAAAAGCTCGTTCAAATATACCAGCACAATACATTTTGTGTCCAAAAACACCACTTTACCATGAAAAACAGCAGTGTAAAAAACTGTACTTACTTCATAAATCTATGAATTTCCTATCTTTCTCAGTTATTTAAATATTTTTGAGGAATATTCCAAAATTCGTCAGATAACAACTACAGTAATAACAGCAGTCTGAAAAACCTACAGTATATTTGAAAGAGTGAAAGAGTATTAATGTTTGGAAGTGGACTGCTATACATTTTCGTTGTTTTGTAAGACGCATTTTCATTTAGAATTAAGCTCCATATAAATACAGCAATTGATCCTGTATTTGTACACCTGATTGTATCACATGTTTGTTTGTTTTTCCGGAGGTAACCGATACAGTAAGGTCTTGATTAATTTAGTTGTGTGAAATAAACCAGATGAAATTCTGAAATTAATTAAAATAAATGGCTGTAATATTTAATCACATCCAAATAGCTGATATTATTTGTTGAATGCTAATATGTTTTTCAATTCCCTTTGTACTTTTATGCTTTCCCAATTGGGAATAATAATTTGTTAGGCAACTTGGCTTTACACTGATATCCCTGTATAGTACAGAATGAATATATTCTATGCATGTACTCCTATGACATGACCACCTGTCAGAGTCATCCATCATTTCACACACTGCAAACTCTAAAATGCTTTAAAGGTCAGTAAACATCTATCAGAGTTGTGATGTAACTCTCTCTGATAATATTGGAACGAATTGTGAATTTGGCAAGTCCCTGTAGCTGATATTTAATAACAAGACAACGATAATTTTGAAATTGTATTATTAGCCAACTATGACTTGGGAAGCCATAGTTGGCTAATGACTTTGCCAAGGTGGATGATGGCAGGAATATACTGCTCAACATTATTTCTGAGTATCTTTACTTGGTAAGCCTTAGGAGCCCCTTTTAAAGTTTGTGTAAAACAGCTTCCTTTGATTAAATTTATATATTTTTTTAATTATGCCATCAGTGGCCTTAAACCATTTACAAAAAGACAAAAAATGGGGGAAGAAGTCTGTTTGTAGATCTGTGTCTATTAACTTTAAATGGGAGATAAATCATATGATGATCTAGTTTTCAGTAGAGAACAGACACAGGAGAAACTGATGTCAAAATAGAAGTTTGAATTATTCTTATAAGATTGCCTTTCTTATCTATGGTATAGATTGAGCTAAAAATACATAAGTATTTAATAGGGACTTGAGATCAATAAAGTAATAGATAAAATTCCCATTCAATGGCAGTTATTCTATTTTAATTATTTTTTAATAGTTAGGCTATTTCATGCTTCACTATGATCTTAATTAGACCGACAAGCATAATTCATATCATATAGGTCATGGGCATGGAAGTACTTAATAACGTAAAGGGTAGAGTCAATGCTTTGATGATTTTCATAGAGTCTGTTGCAGTGTCAGTTTTTAATGTCAGTATCTTGCTATAGCTCAGGCACATAGTACAAAGTCTAAGAAAACAAAGCAATATTTGAATGAAAATGAATAATGTGCTGTTTAGTTGATAGCTTTCATTTTTCTAACTGTGCCATTCAATGCCAAATGTGCCAACTAACTCATGGTTTGATCAAAGAAGTATCATTTAAATTGCACTCTGAAACATGCTTTGTGACTAATTCTATAGATCTGACACTGAACATGTATACAACCATAGTCATTTTAAATAACAGGGGGAAAGGACACTGAAAGATCGATAGCAGATCAATAAACATCTCATGGCACAAAGCAAAAATGTTGCTATTTGTCTAAGGGTGTTCAACAAAATACAAGCAGTTATCACAGTGTATGATTAAAACTGAATTGAATCCCCTTAATTCTATTTAAGTGACCTATGAACAAAGCTTTTAGCAATGCAAAATATGTTAACTGGTCTTTCATCTGAAAATGTGATTATGAAAAATTTCATTGCGTACAAGAAAAAAAAACAGTAACAAATGTTAATGGCATTTATGTTTGACACACGAAGATGAAAACCAAATTACGGCTAAATGTCCTTCCAGTTCAATTAATGTACCAATAACAACAGCTAACAGTACCAACAATAACAGGTTTATGTTTCCTTCTGACCCCTTGGGACTGGGAGGATAAACAATACAGGAGGTGTTGGATAAACTGAAAGGCTTAGCAATGCCAATTGTAAAGAAGGAACCTCTTCAAAATGAACAGGCACTATATAACAAACACAAAAGCCTTACTCAGACTTCTTCTCTGCAAAGGAGAATCAAATATTCTACCTCTACAAACAAGACGTTCTGAAGAAAATCATGTAGCCATTCATGATCAATATTAATATTACTTTGACTTTTACAGACATTGCTTATATTCAGATGGATTTGGCCCCATGCATATGAAATGTTGAAGCTACACATATTAGATAAGGAAAAGCTCTCAATGGTTAGTCTTCCTTTAAGACTGTATGTTAGCTAGATATCAAGGGATGAATGTCTATGACATAACAATGCACCTACCATCAGCATTCTCAAACTGGCAGTGGTTGAGAACAGGCCGAGGGCGAGGTGGACGTTTGGAGATGGTGATTGGCTGCCGTTTCCTTGGGTTTACTCTGGGCGGGGGAATAGGAGGAGCTGTGCTTTCCTCTGGTGCGGCACTAAAGATCTGCAGGTTAAATGGTTCTTGTGAGCAAGAATAAAAACCAACCAGCCAAACTGGTTCGCTGGAATTCAACATGTAGCAGCAAAAGTCATTTAAAAGAACTAGTAGGAACACAGATTATTTTATTGAACACACAGATAAAAGTATTTATCAACTTGCCAAAATACAGAAGCACGTGATATAAGGTTGAAAGGTATCAGAGGCTGGAATAAAGAAACAGAAGAAAATTAAAGATTTTTGCTTAAAAGGTACTTTGACAGTTCACTTCTAAATGTATTTCAGTCCAATGTAAATCACTGAAAGGATTAGATCAAGAAACTATAATGCCATTTATAGTTTTAGCTTTAGTCATTAGCTTTTTAGTCATTTTACCTTATTTTCAAAATGATTACATTCGAGACCACAGAATAGCGAGATGTGTTTATTGTAGTGAATGACACCAAAATATTTTAGTGTTAATGAATTTTGAATTGTCCTTTTATTTTTTCTTTGGACTTGAAATTAATTAAATTACTTAATTATTGCCAAAGAACAATAATTAAAAACCTAGATGCGTTTTGTGTAGGTGACCTACTGTATGCAGTTGTTAAATTGAGGATTGCTATTTTACATTGGTGAATTTCCATTTATCCTAAACTCAGCTTCTTGTTTTCTAAATACAAATACAATTTCATATTAAAATTAACCTCACCCCCCCAAAAAAAACAAACAAACAAATATCGGTGTTGTGGTGTTGTCCAGATTTCCCTTGAAAATTCTGTGGCCAGCAAAACAAATCGGTCTTCTGCGTGATTGTCTTCCTAATCCTCTCCATGGTACACAAGGCCAAGCTACATATCTTATATGAATGTTTTTGTGTCTGTTCCAATATGTGTTTGGTTACATTTGAACTGCTTATTTTAAACGTGTCAGAGTTGTGACTGGCATTACCTTCTGATAGTCTTGTATAAGAATCTCAATGACAATGTTCTGAAACTTGATATTGAGCATTGCTGCCACAGTCTCTTCCTCGGCTCTCATTAGCGTTGGCCCGAAGATCACTCCCATGTTGGAAGGGGTCATAAGATTCTCTTCACTGTGATTGCACACACTGTGAAATGCATGTAGACACACACAAAGGGGGGGCTTTAGTTTACATTAGAAAGGGATAAGGTCTGCTTGGTGAACAACAGCAACTGTTTTTGTTTTAATCAGAAACAGCAGATGCCTCAAGCACATACCCCAACCACAAAATCAAACTGAGAAAGAAGACTCTCACTGGCAACTTACCGAGGCTGGAAGGAAAGACTGGGAAGAGTACCAAACAAGAGGTTTCAAACCCCTATCTTCTGTCTGCTGCCAAATCACTAGGCCTCCAGAGTAATAACTGAAGGGCAGAACACATGTCACTGCCTGCTTCTGTTCAAAATTGCTGTACCCAAAGGAAGTCTAATACTTTACACATCACATTTAAATGCTTTGTCAGAGCAGAGGTTGGATTGAAGTGCAGGAATTTCTAGTGTTACCAAGACGAGAAAAAAAGCACAAAGTGTACAAACGTGAGTCGTGTGACCCATCCCATTCAGGCAGATAGGTATTTTTTGGTTGTAAGTAGCTATCCAAGTATCTCATCCAGCCTTTTTTTTTAAAGAAGTCAACGTATCAGCTACAACAAGATGGCTAGGTACAATAAGTTGCTCAGACCACCACAGTGGCTTGTGTAAAGAAGTACTTCCTGTTCTCATTTTTCATTGCATCTTCCATCATAGTTTTCACTTGTATCACATAGCAAACAATGTACGTACATGTACATACTGTATAATATAACAAAAAGGCTGTGGTGAAATAATAACATACAGTATATAGATTCAATTTATTTTCCCTGAACTCTAAATATCCACTGATGTTTTGGAAAGACCAAGCATGCAATTTGGAAAGACCAAGCATACAACAATATTTGTCTTGTCCAAATGTTTTTCTCTTAAATTCTTTTCATCAGGATACCATATTAGGATTGACTGAGAAACAGTGGAGAAAAATAAATTCAGTTCTGTGAATAACGTTTCGATATACTGTACATCGTAAGCAAATCTTGACAGAATTATATATACAATAACAGGATCCTAGAAGGTAAAACTAATGTCACCACTTCAATAAGCTTATATCTTCCACTCAATATTATTTGAAATCAGAATGACCTTTGAATGCAACTACTATGAAATAGAGGCCTTAAACAATACTCTCCTGGCAGGCATGTATCAGGAGATTCCTTAAGTCATCATACTGCAGGTGATCCAGCTGGATCCTTGGTGTTAGTCTCCTTCAGTGCATTTATTCACTAGTCTTCAAGAACTTTCTTGTGTTACAAAGTTCATCTTTAACTGAGACTTGAACCAATGAGTACCAAAAGAACAAATAAGTAGTTTTACAGTATGTAGTTATGAAACATACTGAAGTGAGTAATAACAGCTAAGCCACAACACATTTAAAAACCAAGATGTTTTCAAGGAAATTCAAATGAACAGCAAACAAATAATGTAAAGTGCTTTGCTGAATTTCATATGTGAAACTTTATGACAGATTCTACTTTTGTGATATCCTATAAAAAAAGCTTTGCTTTTTTAAAGCCAAGTTGGTATGCAGCAGTTTTATTTTATTTTGAATGCTTGAGTCAAAACTGTGCGTTGCCCTCACAAAGAAAAGCTGTCACGGAATATCTAATGTGTAAGAATAAAACAATGTATTTTTCTATTATTTTTGTATTAAAACAGCCTGCAAAATACATCTTCATTCTAGAGATTTAATTTTACTTTACCCGTACTGAAACCACAAATGTATAATGGACATCCACTTAGCTCAATTTAATGATCAGATAAAATGGCAAAGTCACAAAAATACATTTGCTTCTATTTGAATACCTTATTATTTATAATTACCTTCTAACATTATGCAAATATTTAATCTCCATGGTCATAAATAGTGGTGTGTGCCATTTTAAATAATGATCATAATGTGTGGCAAAACATTAACTGTCATTCAAGAACTTTGTGTTTTGATACTTTCTTTGCCAAGTATTAAAACACAAAGATTTGTATTAAAACACAAAGCAGTATGACAAATCCCTGACAGTCATGTCTCCCTTTCCTAAACAAGATTTGCATTTCAATTAACTTACATGACCACCTGGGTAACTTGCGAAAAGCAAACATATTCAAGGCCATTGTCTGTGTTTCTAAAATTGAAGAAATGTCAATGGCGGATCTCCAATTGTGAAAAAGGACCTGGTGGAATTTAACTTAAAACACATAGAGAATTCCATGTTTTATGGTTTAGAGGAATTTGTCTTATGGAACACTCTGCTAGAAAATGATGATTACAGGCCATATTATAGGGGTCAGTGGATGGTATAGCAGTGGTTAGCATTGAAACCTCACAGTTTTACGGCCCTAGTTTCATTTCTGGATACGTGCTATCTGAGTAGAGTTTGTGTGTTCTCCCTATGGTTGTGTGGGTTTCCTCCAGGTGCTCCAGTTTCCTTCCACAGTCCAAAGTCATACATGTAGGTTAATTGGCTTCTGGGAAAATTGGCGGTTTTGTGAGTGTGTGTGTCTGTGTCTGTCAGCCCTGCAATGGACTGGCTATACCCTGGCTACGGCTCCCAGATAGAAAAGGGTATGGATGGATTTTCTGAGGGGCCCTTAAACAGAAATCTGGAGGGAAATACCACAGGGAGGAGTGAAGTACAGGTGAAGGGAATTTGTGTGGAGCAGAGAATGATCATTTTTATTTTTGTATTCCAGTTTGTTGTTTCTGAAAAATAACATAAGTTTGTTTACAAAAAATGTATAGTTAAGTATTGCCCCATCAAAGGAAAAACAGGTTTTCACTGGTTGTATGACTTACGCATGTAGTTGCAACAGTTTACTTCAGTCAATACTTTAATTAATCTGATATAATGGACCATCCCATTTTACAGAAACAAAAACCGCCAAACCCAGGTATAATTACGTGGATATCACTCACACAAAAAAATTATATGAAAGGAGAGTTAGGAAACTAATGAAACAACTGTTCCTTGAAAAGCTGGTTCTTACTTGACTAAATGTCTGGTCAGCAGGTTGAGCATCTCCCTGTTCTTCTCTGGGAGTTTGTAAACAAGGGAATGGATGGCACCCAGTCTGTAGTCCAGATTATCAGACTCTAAAAGCAGAGAAGTTCAATATCACTTGGAATGCGTTTCTTTCAAGTACCAGTTGCTGCTATACAGTACTTTGTACATACCGGAAAGGCATGGCTTCCAAGTTGTGAAACATTTTAAAAAGTTACTGTAAATATTTAATTAAAAATGGAAAGTGGCTTTACCTTAACGTGCCACAAATGGCAAATTGTTTTTCTATTCTTCCCTGTTTTTTTTTCCTAACCATTTGAGTATTTAAGTATTTCAGGAACAGCATTTATATTCTGACAACTAGTACCACCCTCTGGTGAAGCATAACATTGACAGAGTGGTAAAAAAGTTAGGAAGTGAAAATAGGAATGAACAAGGTTCAATTTGACTATGTGATACCATGAAAGAAATAACAAGATGAATCTTATATCCACTAGGATTTAAACAAATTCTGTCTTTTAAACAAAAATGTAGAATCCGTCCTCCTGTGTGTAAAATGTCAATTAAGTAATACTGGCCTTGACAAGTAATACATCTGTATTTAAAGAAAATACAGCAATGAAATAATAAATTGATGATACATTACATATAATTGAATGTATCATGTACATGAAATGTGATACTAGAATCCACAGCATTCTATAATAAGCCTAAGGACATAGTAGAGGGCACAGTGCCATGATTTAAGTAGGTGGGTCTAAGTAAAACACAGGCACACTTTGTAACCATGAGCTAAATAATGCTTTTTATTTACAGTGTGGGGATACACACCAAATAAAAAAAACAAAAGCCTTCAGTAGCTTTTGCCTTCTGGAGAATGTCGTTCAGACAAGAACCCTCAACATGTCTTCAGTTGCCTCTCTATTACAATACTCTATGTATTTCCACGTTTACAGTAGTCCATAGATTTTACAAATTGTACTGGAAGGCAGGTATTTTAGTCATTTTTTTATTTTAAAAGCACCTATTCTGTTATATTAAATATCCATCCAATTTCGAATTCTCAATTGAATCATTAGGTCTGGGGCTCACAGCAATGACCTCTGTGTCCGTATGGAGACAAATAAGAAAGTGCGAACCGGCTCCTCTGGCGCGCCCACTATCTTAGCCATTTGTGTTTTGACACATTTCAAGCTCTGTTGCGAATTCCAGAAGTTTCAGTGCCAATTCGAACAGCAGCACATCCCTCACTGATGTCAACACAAGCTTACAGGTGACCTGAAAGTTGACCATGCTGACTAATCTCAACTCTACCCTGACAGTGCTGAGCCAGTTATGCACTTCTGCTACAGAAATCCCAGTCACAGTCAGAATGTAAAATGAAATACTTTGGTCTTTGACTATGGATTACCAGAGTCAAATGGAATATTACTTATCAAAGTTTCACAAAATGAAATCTGTTGCATTGTATATCTCTCATTATGTCTTAGGATCAAATACATTTCATTGTGAAATGCTCTTAAAAAAATAACTTCCACACACCTTGGACAGACAAGAGCAATATGAAAACAAATACAAATTTAGATTTTCCCACTATTCTCTTAGGTTAATATGCCATTTTCAGCATTAATGAAAATACTTTCTCTTCATTAGAGGAATTTAATACATTCTTCATACAGCTTGAACTCAGTTACTTCCCTTGCCAAATGAACCTTAAAAATAAGAAATAGGCAATTTGTCTGCAATGTAATAGCATAATGAAAAATTAAATGTACAAATGCTGCAATTGTAGTTCAGCCAGTTAACCTAGTTTGCGTAAGAAACCTTTGAACTTCCTTTTAACGGCAAAGCATATTGTACATACTGATTAAGTCAAAGAATTCTCAGAATTCACAACATTCACTGGCTGATGCACTCAGAAATGAAAATATAAACACCTGTGCCTCACTGATTTACCAAAGCTAGTAATTTAGCTACATTCAAAATTGCTCCTAGCAGGAATAAAGCCTAGCAGGAATAATGGCATAAAGCCTGGCAGCTAATTCTTTAAAGTTTCAGTTGAAAACACAATGTTTCAGGTTCATCAATGTGTTTGAAAGAAATAAAACATTGTTTTTGCTATCTAATAATTATGATCCCCTTTTGAGTTCTAACTTACCATCTGTTTTTTCCTGGCAAAGTACCAGTCAGAAACATAATCCTTAACTACAGCCCCAACTGCAATTTGCTCAAAGCGTTTAACTAATCTATCCAAATGGATCATGTTCTCAAATTTAAAAAGAACTTTTGATCCAAGCACGTACAAAATATATTAAGAAGTATAGAATGTTTTTCATGGAAATAGAATTATTTTAGATAGTTTATGCAATAAGCACTCTAAGACAAGTGTTCTATAAATTATTTACTGTGGTACGATTTAATAAAATCATTTTTGTGAAATGATATGAAAACTATACAGTACATAATCTTTTCCAAATACATAAGATTGTATATGCACTTCAGTCAACAAGAAATATCAAGCTTACTGGCAGCTAAGATAAGTTCCCTGTTTAGTTTGTAGGTCATCAATGGCTCAGAAAGACTCCTGCAAAAAAGAAACACAAAATGTAAAATCTGCTATTCTTACTTGTGTTATGTAAGAATTTTCCTTTCTGGATGAACTGTGAAAACTGAGCAATACAATTAAAATCACATTTTAATTATTACACAACAATATAGAAGTAAAAATATAATATGATACAGTACATACAGTAGTTTCCAGATGACAATTACAGCACACATCTTTCAAGGACAAATGTATATACACAATCTGAAGATTTTTAAAAAGAAAAATTAGTGCATTAGAACTGTCAGATTTTCTGGCAAAGCATTGCTTTCTGATGGGATTATCAGGCTTTACAGAAGTAGACTTCAATAATGCTCCAATAATCTAAAAGAAAATACTTATGTGGAATAAAAAATAAATTATCAACGTATACTATAGTAATATCGTGAGTTAGGATATTTGAGCACAATGAATTGCAACAGGAAAAAACAGTAGTAATTATATAAATGTTTGCCAAGCTATAACATATAATGGTGTGAATGCGAATGTCCATACACGATAACTTTATTTCCTCTGCAGTTTATTAAATACCATACAAAGTGTTTTACTTTACTTTTTTGTAGTGCACTTCTTTTTTAATATAATCATTTGATTTTGACCTTTACTGAACTGCGTGTTTTGTGTTATTTTGTTCAAAAGCAAACACTACTCTCTCCAACTGTACTTATTAAATTCACATTTTGAACCACCTGCATTATCCCTTTGTAATCCTGGCAGATATTAGTGTTCCATACAAGAGGTTAGAGAGTTCAAATATTTGTAAAGATATCACTATTGCACAGCATCTTTAGGTTGTGTCATTCAGGCAAACAGTTCTAACAAGTCTTGGCATAAAGAGTGTTTGGAATGACAGTTGAAAGGCAGATGAAATCCTAGCCATGGTAAAGGGGCTGCTGCCATCTAATCTCACAAGCACTAACAGCAGAAAGAAATGTTGAACTGGCCCTGGCATACGGGCGCCATGCCATGGGCAAGATGGGACATCACGTTCCCCAAGAGGCGGCACACAATTAGCTCAGCGCCAGTAAGGGCAAGCCAGTCTTGATTCCCTGTGAAACAGAAAAATCTTGGGCGCCTTAAGGCTCGTGGTGACATCAGTGAGAGAAGTGCCAATTCCTGGCCTCCAGTGAGCACTGAGCTTCCTACTGTAGAATTGACTGCTCCCGGGGTGGGCAGGTTGGAGGACAATCTATGAGCCCAACCTTAATCTCCCCTTTGGTGTGAGCCATGGTATTAAAGACAAATCCTTGTGTGTCCAGATTTGCTGGTTATATTATTGAAAAAAATAATAACTGGCAACTACACAAACTACATCCAAATTGCGACACATTTATCAGGCAGTCAATCACTTTGTAAAAGAAAAAAAATAGTTGTGGTAAATCAAGCAGAACAACAATCAGATTACATTGATATTCACATAGTTTCATAATTCTCAGATTTACTCTTTCAACATCCTTGAACACAGACTGCTTTTGTGTTCTTTTGAGTGCAAGAGACATGGTTCCACAAAAATATTTCTTTCCTGTATTATTTTAATGTTGCTCATCTTCACAAAAATGTAGCAAGACTTGTGATTCAGTTCACTTGTTTGAATATTTCTCTAGCTGTGCTCTGTAACCACCACAACGCAATGCCTCTTTACTTAAAAAGAATGCTTACACATGAGAAAATGTTCCTGAATTCAAAATGAAGCGATGAAGAGGACATAGCATCTTCTGCAGAGATTAAAGTCTTTACTAAAAACAATCTACTGTAGCTCTAAGATGCTGTTGACTGCTTTTTGTTGTACTACCGTACATGTATTAGTTAAATAAAAATTGTACATACCTGAGGTAGAATTTCATTGAACTAGTGATGGTTTTAATATCCCAGTCGCTGTTATAAAAATCGACATCCCCTGGACATTTGGGATCTGCAAGGAATGATGCATATAATTATATAATATAATTATAATTTTTTTTTCTATTCATTTCTACTTTTAATATTTTAAACACCTTATGAAGTGGACAGTGAAGAGACAAACCCTTACCTAGATCTGTCAAACATAGGAAATCCACTACTCAGTGTCACTGATCCCCGCTTTTATGGGTGACAGCTAAGAGGTTAACATAGTGTTACTGTAGGTTCCCAGTAATAATATTTATTTTTCCCTGATGTGAAACTAGCCCAATAGAAACCCTGCCAAGATCAGCAAAAATCAGAATGAGCCATAACAAGTGACTGTCAAACCTCATCAAAACTGGGATTAATTTTAACAAACTGTAACAACGATCAAAACCCCTCATGAGTAGCCAACTGAAAAATCCATCCACAAAAGATCCACAATTGTTCCCATTATACCAGCTGTTTCCAGTTGTATTTGGTTTTGGTACAGTTTCTCTTTGATTTGGAAAATTGTCTTTCTCTCTCTTCTCTTCTAGGTCCCTTTTCAGGCCATAAAGGCCCATAGGGGGAATAGGGGGCAAAGACCACCATTTTTCTCGACCATCCAACACTGGAGGTGGAGGTGATGTGGTCACCATCACACTCCAGCCAACCTATTACCCCTGAAAGGATTAACCCCCGGTAATCATTAGGAAAGCTGACTGAGCCGTCTGGAAGGAATTAGAGCAAGCTACATCTCTTGTCCCTACCTGGGATTGAACCCGGGACCTTCCGGTCAGGAGCTAGACACCCTTGCCGTCTGAGCTCCGGAAAATTGTTTTTAAATGAATAAAATACATTATTTTAGTGTTCTATGGCAAAGACAAAGACAACAACTATCTGTTAAATATACTGTATATAACCTATTCAATAATAAGATGTGTTTGTTCAATGAGACCGAAATGTGATTTGGGATTACATCTAAAATTCTATGGTGATCTATCACTTTCCCACAGTATACAGTAAATATATGAGTTATTCAAATTCATAATAATGGAAATATTTGTTTTTGAGACTTAAAGTGTGATTTCTCACAAATACTACCTATGTACTACTGTACACAGTAGCATAAACATAGCTAAGAAAACAGAACACTTTCTACCACTCTTTAAATTTTTTAGTGACACTTCTGCTGGTTCTCTCTTTCTGTTTTTCATTCAGCATGCATCAGAAAAGGAAAATGGTATTAAAACCACTACATAATGTATGTTCTTCTGACTATTAGTTTTAAAATAAATTATTATTTCAATTAAGTCAGTTTACAATTGAAATGGGAAGATTGATAAAATCCCTTTGAATGGGTTGTAATCTTTCTGGTCTAAATATTTTACCAATACTCATTGATTAGATTATCCTTGGAAAGCATGTGTCACGATTGTTACTCCTCCTTTTAAGGGCGCTCCAGCCCTTCCTCGTTCTGTCCCATTCCCCACACCTGTTCCTTATTTCAGCCCCTCTTTCGTTCCACCTTTAAAGCCAGATGCAGGCGTTTGCCCGGAGCTTCTCATTGAATCCCGTTTCGTGAGAGCCCGGGGTCCTGCTGCGTCTGGCTCCGTTATGGTTTTAGTTTCCTGTTCCTGTTCCTGTTCCTGATTCCTTGTTCCGCCGGTCCCGACCCGGATCTGGTTTTTAATTACTTTGGATGGATACCCTGGTCTTGGACTTTGCCTCCCGTTTTGGATTTCCCTTTTAGATTTATGCTTGGATTGTTTGCCCCAGACTCACTTACCCTGGACACCTGCTCACCTCGGACACGCCCCCCCGTCTCCTGACCCACTCGTGCATGTTATTTTTCCCTATTGTTTCTTCACCTTCCTGATCGTGTCGTCCGCATAGGGCCCAGAAAGAACTGTTCCTGACAGCATGGTGGCACAGTGGTTAGAACTGTTGCCTTGCAGAGCTGGGGTCAATTCTGAACCTGGAGTGCTATGTGTGTGGAGTCTGTATGTTCTCCCTGTGTTCATATGGGTTTCCTGCAGTTTCCTCCCAAAGTCCAAAAACATACCGGTAGGGTAATTCACCTCTAGGAGAACTGGCCCTGGTGTGAGAATGTACACCCGTGTTTGTGTCTGTCTGCCCTATCATGGACTGGCGTCCCATCCAGGGTGTACCCAAAGGGCTTGCCTTGTGCCCACTGTTTGCTGGAATAGGCTCCCCCGTAACCCTGAATTGGAAGAGGTGGTTAGAAAATGGATGGATGGATTACTATGCTGCACAATATTGTTTATGATTTTCCTCTGAAGGTGAAGTTTGACGGTGAGCATGCAGCTGTTGCCAAGGTAATATCCTCACCAAAGAAGGCATTTAAAAGCTTTTGTACTTGGATGTTGCTGCCAACTGTTCTGTAAACCCCTTCTTGTGTGAGTCCTGGAAGAGAAAAGTAGGTTATACCTTTTAAGTAAAAAACAATATTAATTAATCCTGCAGCACTTTGAATGCACTCTAGCCAAGACATATACAGTATAATTAATTTAATTTCTGCCTTAACAAGTTGCTGTTGTATCATGTCGGTGTGAATAGTGCTCAATACTCTAAAAAAATAATGAGACACGATGAAGCCCTTCTTCACTTAACAAGCACCACTGGATTACCGAGACCAGAACGGAAATGTTAAGAAAGCAGAAAGCTTCCATTATGAAACATTCAAACTGAATTAGATATACCTGTAAACAAATTATTATCAGGTACTTGTGCCGGCGTGGTGAAGGCTGTTTTCAACTGCTGGCGGCTTAAATCTTACAGACTGTTTATTATAACAGTCAGAGTGATGCCGAGCCAACAGCAATGACTACATCACTTTTGTGGTAGTGCATTTTTACAATGAGGAAGTTGTTAAAGGACCATGCACACCCAATTCCATTTCCTTCTTAAGTACACAGATGACGCAGAGCCTTGTTTTTTTGTTTACATCTGGCCCCTATTCAGAAAGCACAGTCCAATGAGGAAAGCACCCACTAGACATGACTCATTAAATTAGAACAAGCAGACACCACTGCCCTCCACAGGAGAAAAATGGATATCACAGATATAATACGAAGATTCTTTAAAAAAAAGGCTTTTTAGCAGTGCTTCTGTTATGGTGGGATGTGTCTCACCTTTCGCCTCCACATAATTGATGCACTTCCGAACAAACTTGAATCCTACTTCATTCAACTCCACTGCAAATGACATAAACATATGAGATAAATGTATGTGAGTTTGGTCTGCACACACATACCAAGTGTACTTTTTACAGTACTGTTTTTGAAAGTACTTCACCACTTTTTACTTTTAGGTGAAAATCATAAATAAAATGTTACCTACTTTCTGCTTGCTTGTGTATTGGGGAATGGTAAATCTGTAGCATAAAAACAAAACAAAAATTACATTTGGTAAGAAAAGCAACACACTGTGTTTTAGTGTTAAAAGAACTCATAAAATATATTTAATTTAATTATTTCTATTACAAATGTCACTGATATTAACCCCTAGTCATCCTTCTGTTTTTCCCACCTTGGTCTCTTAATGGCTTATTTTAAGCAGCTGTTAACTAAAACCGGTCTACCTTGGTACTGTTTAAAGGCTTTTATTCACTGCGGATCATACTGAGGACTGAGGACTGCATCCCTCTTATTATATTAATTTGAAATAGTATGGTTGCAGAAATAATGGAAATTGTGGTAGTAACGTACTGTAACTGTCACTAAAGGCTGCCAAGAACTGTCGCAAAACACTGAACGTTTCATATATATAGTGTATGTATGGTTTCATGTGTTATATGAGTTGTTTGAATATGCAGAGAGTTTTCAAATTGGATTAATTGGCAAGGACTTTGTATATATATTAGAATGTGTCAGTGAGAAAAGGACAGCCCATATTTGGAAGCTGACCAAGTCTCTTCTGTAGAAACCTTTTTTGAGCCTTTTATGGGTTGAGTTCTTTCAATCACCACCTGAACTGTAAGTTACACTTCTGTCAGAGTGTGTTTAATGTTGAACCACATTCTCCCACAGAAGATAAGTGTCCCTGGGTGTCTCGGACACTAGTTTACCTCTTCCTTCTTTCAATAATTAATAATTATAACAGTCACCTCCATATATTTAAATCCTCCTTTTCCTTACAGTTTATATACAGTCCTACTGTATATTTTGAGATCTTTATGCTAGATTTACAAAGTACTTGAAGGAAACTTTTCAAATGATGCTGTATAATTCATCATGTTATTTCATGCTCTTATTCACGTTTACTACAATTAACTTGTATAGTCTATTTTCAGTTGTTGTCTTGGCTTTCTCATCCTTTTTATGCATATTTTTCTTTACCAGGTTTTCCACAGTTTAATTTTATAACTCTTTTATCATACTCTTATCACAGTGCTTTACTGTACTTTGTCCTGCTTTTGTCATGCAAATGACCTACACTGGATAGGATCCTATTACACATAGTGTAGTTCTACCATAAGGTGGCAGCAGTGAATCACAAAAGACGGTGACCTACAGGCTCTTTTCCATCCATTGCTTCCATCCATATCTTTCTGTCAAACTCCGAGAGGGCCTGCAGGGTGACAGGTACAGGTCTACAGAAACAATAAAACAAAGAAAACATCAGACCATGGGTTACAGGAATGGATGTATACTTGCCATTTTATCAGTTCTTCAATCAGGGCTGGAACTAGGTTTTGTTTTTGGGGATGATCTCCAAAAATATTTCCAGAATGTTGATGGGGTTCCAGTATCTCCATTACATTATCTCTTCAGGGATATGTTACTGTACCTGAAGAGATAATGTCAGATACTAGTTACATATTTTAGTGGGTTTTGGGGGAGAGGATGTCTCATGTGCTCATAAATTGGCCAAAAATACAACAGTGGTCTGTTTCCAGACTTTGTTGAAACCCCCCTTTTGACAACAAACTGCAATAAAATATTTTCTGATGCAAAGCATTGGACAAATATTAAGTTTGTCTGCAAAGTATAGAAAATAAAATCAGCTTCTGACTAAACATGAGACATTCCTGGTGTTCCCTTTCACAGTAATTAAAAGATATACTTTAAAGAAGTATTCACTGTAAAAAAAATGTTGAGGAATGTCAGTAAGAAACAGGCTCCTCAATCTTGGGTAGAATCGTTTAAAATCCTTCGCCACATTACATTATATCTTTCTGCACTCTACCTTTTTTTTCATTCAATGATAAGAAAGCTATAGTGTCAGAAAATGGAAAATACAGTATATCAGCCTGGTTTCCCACCTTTCATGGGTTTCGATATCAAAACAAAACCTCTTGTCTATAGAGTCTGTCTTCCGTCTAATGCAGGATTTTAGTTTTAGCTCTGTTGGTCCCTGCAAGGAAAGCACATTTAAAATATAGCATTAATGCAGAAAATGCACAAAAATACTTTTTTGTATTTTCCCCTTTATTTACTGAGGTTTATTTTGGCAATGGTGCTGGAATCACTGCTAAGAAATTTGTGGTGGGAAATTGTGGCTCAATTTTACACAGAAAACACAGAATTCTCATTAGTATTAAAAACAAGTGCAGAAGAGACCACCTCTAAATGAAATCAAATCTAAGACACTCAAACCTTTCTTTTGTTTGACATGTTAATGATCTTATTAGAACCACAATAAGTACATGTCAATGAATGAATTGTAAATGTGGCTTGAATATGGAATTTTTCATTTGTTAATATATATTATATTTAATCTTAAAATCTCCATTTCTATGCATAGAAATTACCTGATAGAAAACACCACAAGGTACCAGTGCTTGATACCCCAAGTGGTCAGGTTCCTCCTAAACCATTCAAATTCATTTGTCAGTAGAATTCACTTTCTTAAATTTTCTTTTTCCACGATGTTTAGGGTCCTTCACATACTAGGGCTAATTGATGTCCATGAGCTACAGTACTTCTTTTACATGTTTGCAATTGTTTGCAAAAGGAAATGAAACTGGTCGGCTTTTAACAAAATGCTATTAAAATAGTTTGAGACAGAGCTTTCAACTGATGTGCTCCTAAACTCCAATCTACTGAATTTAAGACGTGATCTTAATCTTGATACTTTTGAGTCGCAACTATTAGCAGGCCAGAGCTTATCCTGAAGTACAGGGTGCAAAGCAGGCCTCGAGAGCACAGGAAACTCAATGTGGAGAGAAAGTCACAAGACAGAGAACTCTATCAGTCCAAGAAACCATGTCTTTCAGCATTAGTGAGGAACGCCCAGAGACCTGTGAAATAATTGGGGAAAATGCACATTTCATAAAGGTAGACACTCTGGGGCATAACTGAACCTAGCAATACCATCCACCACACCGCCTTTTAATTATTAAGGTGTAAATCTGGTACAAATAAAAAATAATTATGCCAAGGTACAGTTAAGAATACGTCATTACATACAGTAATAATCTCCATAATGAGGCACTGTTTGATTTCTGTTTCACACAGGATGTCCTCTTTCATTGAAACATACCTTTCTGTGGGTGTGTAAACAGATGTTTAGTAAGCAGACAATTACAATCCTTGTGTGTTTTACATTATTGCACAAGCATGAAGGGTAACACAAGACAACACTATAAGTATATAATGCACACCCTTGTAATATTTTTTGAAATACATATTATGATCAATACAATCCTCATATTTCAGTCTTTCATTACTTACTTGCTTAGTTGCGGGTTTCTGCTCAACAGGGATCATGGATAACACCTTGTTTTCTTTGTGATATTTGCAGTAGTACTTTACCCATGTAACTCCCAAGGCCCCTAGGAAATAAATCAAGCAAAACAAATCACTTTGCCCTGAATTAATACTGTGGAATGTCATGAAAATACATTACTGCAGAATTATTATTCAGTGTAACAATTATTTATTTCCTGTAGAGTTTATGAGCTGCTGTATGCCTCTGTAATAGATGTGCAAGTAATTATAGCAAGTAACTACAGCTTTGACAGGTCCATTGGATCTTTGGGTGTATTAGAAGTGCACGTGAATTTCAGTTCAGGAGACCAAAGATCAGTTTCCTGTGCGAGACAAGCAGAATCCGTACTAATGGTGTCAGAACCTGGCCATCCTTTGCTCAAATACAGTTCAAATAAAAGGTGAAAAACATAATGCATATTTTGAGTAAAGGGATCACTTTTTGGTGCCATTCATAAGGAAGCTGGTTGTCTGAGTCCCACACAGGGATTCAAGCTCTGAACACCTACGCTGCAGCACACACGCACTACTGCATGAAAAAAGCTAATTCACTTACTGTAGCAAGGTCCAAGTATCCTTCACATTGCATTACAACTAGACCAATACATCACCTGCTACTCATTTAGGGCTACTTTAACTAGTTTAGCATGATAAAAAACATCTCTTAACCAGCATATGAAATCAACCTTTGAATAATTATTTGTTCTTTTTTATTAAACACAGGAGGCCGTATTTTTTTCTTAAGCCCTGCCTGCTTTGAAATTGCTAATTGCTCATGACATTGGCTCACTATTTCAATCCTCTCCAAAATGCATATCATCATAGACATCTGCCATTTTACATGCTGTACTGAGAGCTCCTCAGTGCTCACAACAGTTAGCATCATTTGTAGGAGCCATCTGGTCCTCACTGGCAACACTGCAAACTCACAGGTTCCCTATAAATCCCAGGGGACACTGTTGGGCTGTGAGCCAAAGAAAAATTGCCAGCCTCACATATACCAAAATCCACAGCTTGCTATATTTCATAATCAGTTTATCATCAGTCAACAATCCATTGGGATTCAACAAAACATTTAAAAACAGCTCAAATTATCAGAAAGGGTTAACGAATTTTTACAGTCCATTAAATTAATTTTTAAACATTTTTTGGTTTGGCTTTCCTGGGTACATATACATGTATAGTTGTCCTTAAAACACCCCTTTTCCTTCACATGGTTAGTCTCTAACTCTTGAAACACATACTTACACTTCTCCTGTGTGAAGAGATATCCTTCGACAGCTGGCTGGCCAGGAATTTGGCACATCTGAGATTGTTTCTTTCTTTTCATGAGCTCCTCCATCTCTTCCCGTGTGCTTTCAAAGCGATTTCTTGTCTAGAAACAAGAAGGTTTTCCAATGTCTCAAAGCTTCAAGCTTTGTTAAACACATATTTTTACCGACTCAATCGACCCATCATTAATTAAGCACCATTCAAAAATTACACTTATATTTTTACATACCCAAAGTGAAGGACCTTTTGATTCCAAAACAAAAGATTGGATACTTAATGTTGATATTTACCAGAAAATTGTTACCAACACTCACATTTTGCAAGCTTAACTGAAGTTCTTGTTTGTATGGCATGAAGTCCTGAGTCATTTCAAATGTGAGGTTATTCAATGTAAACAGACTCTGAAGAAAAGCCAACACCTGCATCGGAATAAAAATCAAAAACATAATTTTGGTAGCATAAATAAATTAAATTCTTACAAGAATATAAAACAATTTTAGCAAATACACTAGTGAAAGTAAGGGATAACAACATTTATCTTAAATATAACAACATATACTTACACACCTTTCATTGAAGCAGCTACAGTATAGCACGATAATCCAGGTCTGTTGTAAAAGTAGTTTCATTTTGCTAAAAAAAATACTTCTTATTCTTAGCCTAATAACAACAGCTTGACAGTCTGAAGCAAAAGAGAATGGTTAAGCCCTGCATTATAAAAAGTATTTTTTTTTACACTTTAAGCATACATCCTCAAACATACTTTACTTTTCTATGATCTGCTTTCAGACTGTGTTTTAAATATAATTGAGTGAGTGTGTTTGAATTAGCACTATGAAGCTCCTTTGTAAATGTATTTTTTGTATACACCCTGACCTTCTTTTCCTCCTGCAAGCTGTTGTAATGAACTGTCTTCCAAACACCCTGAGTTTGTTTTTCTCATGTAAGCTGTTGTAAGGCTGGTAACAGAGGCGACAGCTACACATCGCACAGGGACAAGGCTAGGCCAGTGGAAATAAAAAGTAAACAGGATGGCTTTTTGAAAACAAAAGGAAGGCACTCACGGGCTCCACAACATCAAACTTCTTCCTGTCCTGCACCTGCTGAATTTGATATACATACTCCACAGAAGACTCATAAAAATTAAGCCTCTCTTTATCAAGCTGGACATCTGCCTGCAGTTAAAAACAGATTTATAAACAAGGATATATCCAGATAAAATACATCAAATACAGTACAAATACATCAGGTGGATGCTGCACATTGGTGGTGGTGGAGTGGAGTCCCCATTACCTGTAAAGCGCTTTGTGTGTCCAGAAAATATAGTGTAAGCAATTATTATAATTACAGTGCCTATAGAAAGCCTACACCCCCCTGGATTTGTTCAGATTTTATTGTATTACAGCATGGAGCCATGATGTATTTAACTGAGAATTTTTGCCACTCCTCAACACAAAGTACTCTAATATGCCAAAGTAAAAAATAATCAAAACATTTAACTAAATTAATTAAAAATAAAAAACAGAAAATAATTGAATGCATAAGTATTCACCTCCCCCCTACCCCCCAGAGTTAATACTTGGTAAGACCACCTTTGGCAGCAATTACAGCTGTGATTCTCTTTGGGTAAGTCTCTTTCAGCGTTGAACATCTTGACACTGGAATTTTTGCCCATTCTTCTAGGTAAAATTGCTCAAGCTCCATCAAGTTGGATGGGGACCCCTTGTGAACTGCAATTTTTAAGTCATTCCACAGATGCTCAATTTGACTGAGGTCTGGGCTTTGACTGGGACACTATAGGACCTTTTTGGTTTAAAGCCACTCCAGTGTGGCTTTTGCTGTAAATTTTGGGTTATTGTCCTGTTGGAAGATGAATCATCTTCCAAGTCCCAGTGCTCTTACGGATTGCAGCACGTTTTCCTCCAGGATTTTTCTGTACTTAGCTCCATCCATTTTTCCTTCTATCTTTATGGGTTTTCCAGTCCCTGCCGCAGAGAAGCATCCCAAAAACATAATGACGCCACCACCATGTTTCACTGTAGTGAATGTGTTCTCAGTGTGATGTACTGTGTTAGGTTTTCACCAAACATAAAGTTCAATTTTGGTCTCATCGGACCTTAGAATCTTCGTACAAATTGTTGAGTCTCTCACATGCCTTTGGGCAAACTCCAGCCGAGATGTGATATGAGTTTTTTCAACAAAAGCTTTCTTCTTGCCACCCTTCTGTACAAGCCAAATTTATGAAGTGTGCGTGTTTTTGTTGTCTCATGCACAGTTTCTCCCATCTCTGTCATGGAGCCCTGACTGGTATTTTTCAAGAACCTTGTCTCAGATCTGTTTGGAATGTTCCTTGGTCTTCATGATGTAGTGTTTCCTCGGAAATGCACTAACTAGGTGGGGAAGCTCCCAGACACAGGTGTATTTATTCTGAAATCACGTGAAACACTTCAACTGTACACAGGTGGACTCCAGTCAAGTAATTATGTGACTTGGAAAAGAGAGTTGGTTACTTCAGAGGTAATTTTGGTGTGTCAAAGCAAGGGGGTGAATACTGATGCATTCAATAACTAAGACTGACTGACAGACTTGACATACTGAATGACCTCTTTTATATTCTTTTGACAAGTATGCTTCAGGAAGGTTATAGAAGCTTTTCAAAATACGCTGATTGCCAATGGATATTAAAGGAGAGTGAAAACTGAAGCAAAGCACACAGTGCCATGTCATCATGAGGAAAATCACAGAACTGTCTGATGATCTATGGAAGAGTATTGACATCAACTAGTCTACTCATGGCTGTATAATGTATAAAGCATCTTAGTTTAAACTTTACCAAGACTTTCAAAGCTAAAAGGGTGGCTGCTAACTCACTCAGAAGAAGACTTAAGAATGTTTTACCCAAATGTGTGGTCAGAAAAGTGGTTTTGGTAAGTGGTCATAGCTGTATCTCACACCCAAGAGGTACAATGTCTCCAAGAGTATCAATCAAAGTTGTCCTCATAAATCCGAGGTCCATGGCAGTGCTTTTTGTGGCAGAGTGAAAAGGAAAATTGAGCTTGCCAAATAGCAAATAACTGACTCCCAATTCCAATGGTATCCCATGGTGTGATGAAAGATGAAACACAAACCATTTTCAGAGCAGGCTCAGATGAAGTATGATAAGCACAGAAAGAAGTTTATGTTTGAAAGAATGTCATCTTTTAAACATTCTGCTTAAGGGTTGTTTTCTGTGTTTTATGTCTTCCATCTTAATGTACTAAGTTAGAATTTAGGAACGGATTATTCAAGAAACTTAAGCCTAGTCACAAATGGACTTTACAACAGGATAACATATCAAGTCTTACTCAGACATGCTCAACAACCAAATGTTTAAGAATGCAAAACCTAAAACAGCATTATGAATTGGTCATCACAGTCTCTAATAGAACATTAATAGTATTAGATTAAAAGGCCAGATCACAAGCAGAGGAGGAGGAATATAGTAGTTCAATACATCTCATGAAAAGTTTAAGAACCTATTCAAAGGCTGCATAACATACTTAATATTGTTATCTCATTGCGATAAGTAAATATGGGGTTCATAAACTATCAAATGAAGCAATTATTGATGATAAAAAGTGAAATTCATTAAATTAGTGATTTAATGGCTTCTTTACACAATATTCTGCATTCAGCATAAAACCTGTTAATCAAAATACACACATAATGCTGTATGTACTGGAGGTATTAGCAAATGTTTATACTTACATCCTGTAGATGAGATTCCTTTTTCTTTGAAGACAGGTTTAAATGTTTTTCCAGTTGAGAATAATATTTCTCACTTTCTTTGTCAAACTTCTTTTTTCGTTCCTGAAATACAAAGCCAAACTCTCTAGTTTAATTGTGTCCATTTTTGTTCACTTTTTACAGGTTGCCAATGCATTTAAAATGAAGTACACATTCTTATTGTCAATCAAACTATATATTTTAGTATTAAATCTATCCGTCACTCAAGTTTGCTTCATTCCAATAGAAGTTCACAGAGAGTTGAAGGCTGTCCATGGCAGGATTCACACAAGCACACAGTGACAATTTGGAAATACCAATTAACATAGTCAGCAATGATAGGTGGGATGAAACTGGCACATCCTGGTAAAGCTCCAAAACAAATAGAGTATAAATGGATCCCTGCATGAAGGCATGCCATTGTGAAATTAAATCCAGATCAAACTCCCAAACCACTGGGATACTCTACATTAAAGTGTAATACTGTAAGTGCATTTTGAATGTATGCGTATTGTCCTTTGCAATAATTTTAAACAAATATTGACCAAAGGATAATCTATTGTACAAACTACAGATATACGAGTAACAGAAAAACTGGATATCACAAAATAGCAATATTAGATATAGTCTAGCTGAATTACCACTTTCTTGATACATTTGCACTGTAATTTGAAAAGTGCCTTTTTGTTCTGTTGGCTGTGATGCATAGGATCTTTTGAATTATCTCTGTAAACAATTCTATTAGATATAACAATTAAAACTTGCATTGTGTTATCACAACATCAATCCTGTTAGATATGACAACAATATCTTAAAGTATTGTGAAATTATTAATCTGACCACGATTGGAATTTCACACTTAGAAAACACTACGTATACTTGGAGAACATTATGGGATTTTACATGTTAAAATTGATGCCATTGTTATAACCGTATTATTATAACCTGTAGAGATACAAAAATGTACATTATGAAATATTTAAAAACATAAAACTGGAAATATGCGTGCTTTAAAATAACCTCAAACCTTTTTGTGGCTTTGTCTTTAACCAAAGCATTTAAAGGGAACATCAGAGCTTCTTTATTACAACACATCTAACACCCAGTGATAAAAGAGGAACAATTCAAGACATTAACAAAATAAAACAATTTCTAAATACTTCAGTGAAAACTACTGATTACAAATGTCCTATTTATCTAATGAGGATAACAGCTACAAAATAACATAACACCTGCAAAGAGACAAATATCACCAAAAGTTAAACTTGTTTACGTTTTTTCCATTATACAACTCTGAAATAAAATCTAGTTGGTATCAGAATTTTACACCTGCTGACATTTTGTGTTGTAGCCACTTTGGTACATTAAAACAACAGTGCCTACAGTATATCCTAAATCACACTTATGTATTTATTTTTAATGTTCGATTTACAGTGTTCTACTGAATGTATCTTAATGTTTATGTGTGTAATGTACTGTACGTATATTATATTTTCACCCTTTGTTGAAGAGGAAAGGATATGCTTCAACACATAGGGCTACAATAAACACCCCTAGGTCTAACTATACTATGAAGATATGTGTTTTTTTCAGAACATATCTTTTGAAAACCAAAATACAGTGTGTAAAAAACAAATTGACAGAAAAAATGCTTCAGTACTATTTAACATAACACTGTTACTGTTATTTACCTACCTAAGTAAATGAAGCCATTTTTATAAGTATAGAAACATCTAGCTATTTGGGTGTTTTTTTACCTGTAGTGTTACATAAAAAAACACCATGAATCAAAAACTCACAGTTTACGTGTGGTTAAGCAAAGGAACAGCTCCTCTTAACAATTGAATAAAAGGTACATTTTAAGGAAAATACAAGATGAGAAGAAAAGGCTCTTCAGTGTTGTAATTAAAAAGACATTTGGGCTGTAAGAAATAATTTCTATTACATTAATACATTTTTTTGTATTTACAGTTACAAAAGAGGGGGGGTATTGGGTTGAATTATTTATACACCAATTGTCTTAAACAGAATCTGAGTCTCCTCCCATTCCATGGCATAATTCAAAACTCTAAAGTGGACAGATGGAGGCCTTTCAGAAATAGTTTAGGCTTAGCTGTTTAGATAGCAGCTTGTCTGTTCATCTAGTGTGAAACCTAATTCTTTAAATGTAAAACGTGGCAAGAGCTTAATGGAATCCGCTGACTTTCTGAAAAGAAAAGGTGATGCTAACAGAATCCTTGAGAAAACATTAAACTGAGTCTATAAATGTATATGGGCAACAAGAGATGCAGGTGCAGCCAAAATTTCCAGATTCGGTAAACATTCAAAAATGGATGTTCAAGCATAATAATGCTTTCATTTGACAGAATTCTTCTTATTTAAATATGCTTTACATGGAGCCCGCAGCCTGGCTCAAGAAGTCTCCATGAAAAGAGCCACATTTTTCCCTTTCCTGCTGCTGTATCTGGCAGGTTCAGAGAAATTGGCCTGTTATTGACAGGGATTCACAGGCAAATCATCTGATCTGCGAGCCCAGGCCAACAGCTCCACGTGTATAAACAGACACTGCTGTTGGAGTGGACTGAGCAGCAGAGGCCAGCAAGGAAGAAAGAGCATTCCTCCACTCTTAGTCATTAACCATAACAACTTTCTTTTTCTTAAAGGAAGAAATAGTAGGAAATCATAAAGCATTCTGAAGCATTTTCTTGCTGCCACACTCCTTTCTTAGCGATTCCACATAGCTGTTCCACACAGACCTCAGAATATAAATTTCTTACAGAAAAAAGACAGCCAAATAATTTTAAAATGGATGTCTAGGAAGCGAGTCTTAGAATTTGTCTCAGTATTGTCTGTAGATGTCTTCAACCTGTGCTCAGAGAGACAGATGTACAGTATTTTTTCTATTTTTGACCAAACCAAATAACTCAAATGCATAATTAAAGTTTATAATCCTGCGGTGAAAAGGGCAAAGAATAAAAGATTTTTGTTTGCCGTAACTTATTATTATTTATTATTTAATATTTAGTTTTGTGGCAGAACTTTTCAAGAAATGGTTAAAATCCTTCAGTTTCTTTCCCTAATTTTTGTAGCAGCTCCTAAAAGCATTCAAAGCTGGCTTTTATTTAGTTCTGCTGATGATTTTGGACAGTGTTGCAGTCATGTCTTGACTATTTCCAGCAGTTATGTGCACATAATCTGCAGCTGATTAACACACAGCAGCCTCAGCTCCCTTTGGAATGAGCCCATAGCCTCCCAAACCCAAGAGGAGGCCTGGCGCAGAAAATCCATGGGAAATGCTCTATCCCTTTCTCTGTCTATGACCTATTTTTTACAGTCACATATACTTCCCTTTCTACAAACAGAAGTGTCTTCAAAAAAGACAACCTCTGACTGTTCTTCTGGCTTTTTTGCATTCCCTGTTGCAGTACCTGATGAGAGTGCCTTGATTACATATTTACTACTGGCACACCTTTCATGAAAAAGCACCTGCAAAACAAAATACTGGCAACTTTTACAGTAGCATTTTCAAAAGGACAAAAGTAACAATTCGTAACTGGAGTAAAAGAACTGTTAATATTATTCTGTAAAGATTTAACATGGATTCTGCAGAAATTTAATGTTGCAAAGTGACAGAGATAACCTGAGTAACTCACAGAGAGGCATGTCCTGCAGAATGTAGAAGCATTGTTGGCAGTAAATGTTTAAACTCTACCGTTTTATCAGAGAAAAGCTGACACAAACCTCAAAACACTTCCCATTTTGTGTAGACTTTTAGGTTACCAGAACAGCAAACTATAAGAACTTTCAAAGTCTTAAAAGGTTAATAATTTACACCGTAATTTGCTGCAAAGAAAATCAATACATTTGAAACTTAGGAATTTTTCTTATACTGGGAACAAGATCATTTGCATGTGATGCTTTTGTTGTTACACACTGCTTGAGCTGATACCACACCTAGGAGAGGCTTTTTAGGCAAAGCAGAGGATTTTAGTGCAGAGGTTACTAAACAGGACTCGCAGGGCTTGGAGAGAACAACAGTATTATTGTACAATGGAACACAACCTAGATTAACTCAAAATTCTCCTCCAGATTATTGTGAAACTCCCAGTAGGTTTTTTGCCAAGAACTAAAAGGAATTTAAGGTTTTTCAGCAAAGTGTACTGCAAAGCAGATAAAATATTGTGCATACTCTGTTACTGAATGACAATTGAGCTCTGATCCTGATACATCCAAGCGTTAAGGTTTTTTTTTTGTGTTCTCTTAGTTACTTAATTACAACCTTAACTGAAATAATATTTTTTCAGGTTATGGATTGTCTTTATGAAGACTAAATTTTAATAATAAAACATGTTGGTAATTTGTCATCTCCACACTATTTGGAAATAAAAATAATTTAATAAGATTTAATAGCTAGCTTTTACATCAATAAAGGATCATTTAAGAGCTCAGTTAAAAGAAAATACAAGGAAATACTTAAAACATAAAAGCTCACAACATTTGTAGGCAACACAACCAAAAACTGCATATTCCAAGACTTAAAACAACATTGATTTTTGTGTGTTTTCTTCACACTAAAAAAACTAAAGGACTTTCATTAGGAGTTAACTGAAACTCAATGTTAAGGCAATGTTAAGGCTGCTGGTCACACAGAATTATGTTTATTTATTAAGCTTAAATTTAAAATTTTTCCCTCCACTTGTCCTGCCCTCACTTAGCAAGGAAATTCTTCAGGCCACAAAAACAAGTTCATCTATATCCCAGAAAACCCCCAAAATGGCAGCCTAGCTGCCTGTGGGTTTTTAATCTTCAAATAATGAAGGGAGAAGTGCAGGTTTAGAGCTTTTTTAATGAGTCCTCTGCTAGAGGAGAGAATGGCATGAAGCCATTTTCCAGACTGCAAACAGCAGAGGGGTTGAGCGAAAACAGGGTAGACAGGCAGGGAGGAAGTAAGCTGTTATCAATGTGTAGCTTCTGCAGTATCCTTAATGTATACAGGAAGTAAAGATGTTTTAATGCATTTGGTGTTTTTTCAAAGTCAAAGATACAAAAATGCAATAATGGCAGACAAACCATTTATAATTTTTTCTAAAATTATGAGTTTTATAAGAAACAGACAGACAGCAATAGATCTTAGCAATATTTGCTACACGGAAACAGTCTATATCATGTTGAATACCCATTCTCTTTCTATTTTTCTGAACTAAAATAGATTTAATTTTATTATGGTCTCACTTCTCCAAGATAGAAAACAACCTTTGAAGCTAAACATACTTATCAATGCTAATATCAACTGATGACACACCACTTTATTCATAAAATGTTGCCACACTGCTGCGGAGATGTGTATATCAAAAGTCAACATCCTGAAATGGAACAAACATTCAAGGACAGAAACAGGTGTTCTTCACCTTTGAACTAATTGTGAGACTATATAGTATATTATACAATATATAGACTTTATATGACAATCAATCTATTTTAAGGTTCAGGCAGGAGCACTCTGTAGAGGGATCTAATCAAACTATTTTCTGTACAACAGTTTGAATACCAATACCGGGATGCCGGAAGTTTCCATGGCAACTAGTTGTTTCCCATGTTTTCCACAATTTAGAATAATAAATCATATAAGGTTTCATTCTCCCTGGAATTAATCGTTGCAGTAATTTCCCATTGCTCTTGCCAGTTAGGTACCAAAATATAAGGCTATAATCCTTGTAAGGTATCTATTACTTTTTCTCAAAGCCAGCAAAACTATGACTATGGTAAAGTCACTAGTTTAATGATTTCTCTGGCACGATTTGTACACAGAATGTTGGTGTGATTAATTTAAGAGCAAAAAGAGGAAAGGTTGACAGTCACTACTAGGGGTGCAGTAATTCAGAACAGTAAGAAAACAAGACAAAGCAAGAGATGAACATTATTCTAAAAAAACAGCTGACAGTAATAAAGCTATACACCATGTTTCACTGCATCGTACTTTGTCATTTTCTCCAGTTTTTAACCAAGCTAAACTGCTTCCAGATGGAGATAATAAGCATTCAACTGAGCCTTGTTTCATTTTGTCAGAGGGTCACTCCATTGAACTGGTAACATGCAGTAACAGCATTGCCCAATAACTGTTGAGCACTTTCATTCTCAGTTAATCATTCAATTAATGATTATATGAATAGAATTACATCATACTATCATGTGAAGTTGTGAGTTATAAGTAGAGAAAAGAAAAAAGAGATTATGAAACACAACGTAATACACAAAAACGCTACAAGAATAAGGACTAAACATTCTCAAGGTTTTTCATTTCATTTTCAATTACTTTCCCGATGGCTTGGAATCCTTTCAGCACCTTCATATTAGAGTAGATCCACACAGATTAAACAAGAGTCTAAAAGGATGTCCAATATCTTTCAGAGAAATGTTCCAAGAGTAATACTATCAGTACATTTTTATATTACCATTATCTTGAAAGTAGAATAATTAAAAAAAATCTACCACCAGTTTTAAATGTTAAAATGTTAAAATTATTTTTAACAAATGAAAAAGAAAAGGCATTTAATTGTTTCTCAGTACAAGTCTCCATAGCTCAAATCAAGATTTGATTTGAGAATCAGAAAAATTTCAGAGTTTTCCATTATGATCATTTTGACAAGACAAGATGAAAACTCATGTCTGAACCATGTTCCTCAGAAAACTGTAGCAAATGGCCTGCTGTCCTCAGTCACCAGATCAACTAGTTGGTTCCACAGTCAGTCAACCTCTGCCTTCTGGAGACAGAGGGCGTCCTCTGATGTGCAAAGTAACTTGACTTGACTGAGTGATGGAGCTTTTGTGAGTTTTGTATTTTGTAGCCAATAAGCAGCTAAGCTGCCCTACGGCACTATAGAAGGGGTGTGAAGAAGGAGCTTAGGCTTTTTTTGTTGTTTTTTTCTTGTCACACTGTAAAAAGAGAACTATCTCTAAGTTATGGCTGTTTTGTGTGCTTGTTTTACCAACACTTGCCTATCAAAGTTTATGTTTATCACACTCTTCAACAGGGTGTGTCAAAGAAGTAGTTTATTTTAGATCAACCAAACATACAACGAAACATAAAAAGATTGTAAAAGTAAAATATGTATGAAGGCCTAATTTTATTCTTTCTATTATTTAATTTAGATGAAATGAAGCCTTCAGCACCAAAACCCCCAACAATCCATAGTAACTGTACATACATATGTACAATTAGTACTGACAGCTTACAAATTATATAAAAACCTAGACAAAACACAATTGCACCAGAAAATAACCAAAATTGCTGAAAAATACTAACCTTTTTGATTATGTAGCTTTTTACTATTCATACAATACATTCTAAATATGAATTTATTCTAGTATAGCACTTAGCAGTAAAGCAAAGTGTGTACCAAAATAATGTGAACACACAAGACTCAAGGCACATACTGTATTATTACTAATGTTTCTTTACTAATCCAGCGTATTTAAAGGTTTTTATACTTTCGGACACTTTGCTGGATTAATTTTACAAACATTTTGCACTAGAAAATAGATGATCCTTTGCATTTCTTTTTAAAGGTGAAAACAGGAAAATGGGAAAGAGCTACACAAAAGTTCGCAAAGATTGATTTCATCCGTCTTCTTGGGAGTAAAGCCTTTATACTGCTGGAATTCTGCTTTTCTTAAGAATTGTCTTAATCAAATTAACCCTCACATCAAACAAGTTCTACATTTTCATACAGTATAACAATGTTTTCTTTATGCTCTTTCGCTTCTATTCAAATCACACATTTTAATGAAAAGTGAAATTAAGAGATGAGATGTACAATTTTACATAAACCACCATGAAACCATTTTGTAAGTACATTATAACTTACACAATGTAAACTTCAAATTTCACAACTGACAAAATAACTTATTACACAATTGTGAATTTCTCATTTAACCTTCAATTTTAATAATTGAAACCCTATACAGTATATCACAGCAGCTCTTTCACCATATCATCTTTCACACCACGGTCTAAGGCTAACTTTTGATAGATATTCTGGTACTTTATGTTCAGCTTATTTGTTTTTTCACATCTCCTTAACATCTTTACTGTTGTGGTATTTGGCTTCCGTTCACTACGATTGGAATCTCAATAAACAAATGAATTTGTGTTTTATTATATGTTCTACAACCTGTTACCCTTTTTCTTCAAAATGACCAAAAAACAATTTCCTCCAAGAGTGGTCATTCAGAAGCACTTTTTCCACCACAAGCCAAAATTGCTTTTGGCAACAACAAATATTTCAATCATATAATTGAAGGATGCTTCAGCCTCTATGGCAACCTTGACCTTAAAATTTGTACCACAGTTTTTGCAGCCTTTGGATACTTCAGCCTTTCATGTTTCACTGTTTTCCTCATAATCAGTACAGGAGTATTTATATTATTTAATTTTCAGAAGTAGGCCTATTTAAACATTTATGATGAATACATACTTATACTGATTTGAAAATTAACTCGAAGAAAATTTGTGCATGTCAATTTGACTCAAAGTTAAATGTACTTAGAGGAATATTTGCATTTTTGCCTACATTTGGATCAATGAGAGAAATAATATTATATCAATATTATATCTGTTTAGAGCTGATATTTAATAAGTAAGATGTTTTAATGAAATTAGTATAAATGATATTAACAGGCTGAATATAGCCTAGTCACATTCATAATTTTTCCTGGTAATGAGACAATCCCTATTATTGTGCAAATGTTTGCTTCATACTTACTGTACTTCGGCAGCCAACTCGTGTTACCGGTTTAAAACAATGAATTTGATGTTTAAGTTTACAATGCATTTTACATTATAGGGAAGTTAGTCATCACAACTACATGTCATGCAGAGAATGTGCTGCACTTTCATTTAAAAAAAGATTAGTTCTTAGGTTATTGTAAAATCATCATCTGAAACTTTTCTTTCTTAACACTGTGCATTAAGACTTCATTCAATTATCACTGGCTATATCTCATTCAAAAACATTTTTTACATAAAGATTTTAAAAAATGATTTGTTATAGTGTGTTTCTGTAACCGGTAATAATTTCCTCATAACTGCCATTTATATTTAATTTAAATATTAGGTGTGCAGCTGACAAGACTAACTTACCTTTGTGACTCCAATTTGTTCTTTGCGGAATTTTTCCAAGGGCTTAATCAGCAAATCACAAGCGTTCTGCACCTTCAAATGAAATAGGAAAAATAACACAAAGTATTAAACAATGCAGTTCTTCTAGAGCTTAATGACAGCAAAACGTTTTTTGTGTCAGTAATATTTTTACATTCACAGGATTGTACCCCATTCATTTCAAAACTTCTATACTACTATGTTTAACTTAGATACTGCTACAGTATATAAAACCACCAGATTTTATTTACATCTGGTGGTTGTACATCTGTTTGTACTTCAATTGGTCACACTAGTCATTGTTTCTCAACATCAGAAAAAACTTCCCCTATGAATTCTATTTGTGTGGCACAATTGCTGCTTTCTATATTTAATGGACTACTTAAAGTTCAGATTCCATAAATACCTAATTTGGAATGATATTCTTGACAGCACAGCTGCAGCTTGTTGTATAATCTACCACTTGTTAAGATAAATGCAAATTTACTTGTTCTATTTACATTCAGTCTACGTAAGCTGCGATGAAACTCTGCCCTTTATTTTTTGGAAAAGGAAAATGTCATCATATGCTGACTTTGACAGGTGTGTGTGGGAGTAAGTGCTAAGAATATGTGAAAGAAAGTCTGCTAGAAGGAAAAAGAAGGCTGTATAAATCAAGAACAAGGTTGAGTAATAACAGCTCAACATAAATGGTTACCTTGGTAATGTGAGTTCCATGCCCAGACATTTAACACTCTTTCTCCAGGAGGCAGCTGTTTTTTAATTTGTGTGTGTGTGTGCAGGGAAGGTGTTTGGGGGGTAGTGATGACTGCGTTTTATGCAAAGAAGATAGATGTGATAAAAGCAAAGCAAGCAAAACATTGGAGACCACTTTCGTCTGTGCCCTGTTCATCTTCTGAGAGATTGTGGAATTTCTGAGCACAGCAACACAACAGAGTAGAAAACAGAAAGACTGAATCACATGGACCACAGCCCAGAATGAAATTGGTAGAAAAAAGCAAAGATAGCATGAATTTACCACATGGTATGAGTCACACCAACTGGCAGAATATCACATTATTGTAGTTCATGATATTTGCGATTTTGAAGGAACTACCCAGGCAGCAGGGGCTTGAATATTCTAATGTAGGAAGGCTTGCAAAGATGCATATTTCTACTGATATCTAACTGTACAATGTCTGGAAATATAGTTTAAAGTAATGTAGTGCTTCTTGAATATCTTACTTTCCTTGTCTGGCCAAAGTCAGAGATTAATGTCTGCATAATCCTTTCAATAAAACTACATGAAACAAAGTTATTTCACAGACAATGCTTCACTGGCCACAATGGTGAGAATTATAATCTAAAATATTAAATTATAAACCCATGTTTTAAGTGTCATTTCACCACTAATAAAACAGCATCAAGTACCATATGCTTCCCTTTACAATTTAAAAAAAGTCCTATTTGGAAGCAAGAATGATCTTATTCTGCTCCATTCATTTCTTAGCTTAAAGCAAAAAAAAAATTACAATGGCTTTCTCCAAACATTAAACTCTCAAGACAAAAAGACAAAAGCAAGTATGAAGGCACTAAAATTCGAAATTCTAAAAAGGATAGATGTGGACAATTCCACAATTGTCTTCAAAGTGTTACTGGTCTAAAAAAAACCCTCAGGTTTATTTAAGAACTCCACTGTGATTGAAGAACTGCTAATTTGTGTGTATCTCAGACTGCTAATTTGCAAAACTGAATGAACTTGTCTCGGAAGAGTTTTAGACAGCCTTTTTAAATGGGCGTATCTATAAACAGTTGCACACAAATAAGTACATAAGAATAGTTACAAACAAGAGGAGACCATTCACCTAGCCTGTTTGGTAGTGAGCAGCTAATTGATCCAAGTATCCTGTCTAACCACTCTTGAAAAATAACTTGAAAAGCCTGTTCTATACTCCCAAGACCCTGTTGGTAAAGAAATGCCTTGTGTTCTCAGTATTAAATGCACTTTCATGTAATTTCCAGTTGTGTCCTCTGGGCTGTGTTTCATTCTGAAGAAACTGGTTGGGAGACTTTCAATACTCTTGAAGTTATGAATACTTGTATGATGTCCCCACACAATCTTCACTGTTCAAGGCTGAAAAGATCCAGTTCCTTCAGCCTGTCAGTTTAGGATATTCCTTTAAGACCAGGAATTATCTGGTTGCTCTTCTCTGGACTGATTCCAGAGCAATATCTTTTTTATAACATTTTGGCCAAAATTGTACATATTTATTCTAAATGAGACCTAAGTCTCATTAAACTATATTACAGTATATACTGTATAACAGTTTGCCAATCTTCCTAATTTAGCACATTCTGCAAAATTGAGTAGTTTTCCAGAAATATAGATTTGGAATCTAGATCATTGATATAGATAAGGATGAACAGTGGTCCTAGTACAGAATCTTGAGGTACTTTACTAATTACTTAACTTTTTTTAGCATTCATTATTTATCTAACATTGTATTTTAAGACCTACTTACTTGAGTGTTCTAACACTTTAAGAAAAAGGCTTCTCTACTGTCAACATACTGTAGTAATGAAAAGTATGTAGGATTCACAATCTTCACAGATTCAACAGTTTCTCTGTCACTCATGAAGCCTTACCAGCATCATCCTTTCATCTTCAACTTCCTGCAAAAGCCCAGAAAATTCCTTGAAAGACTCCGCTGGGAAAGAGACCAAATTATATGTTTATTTTACATTGATGATACTATTTCTTACATTCTAAAATATTTAAAGGAAGGTCATCCGTGAACAAATAGTTTAGGATTAGTTCCTGCTAGGAATAGTTATAGTCACCACTACAAACAGTATATCATTAAATATACTGTATGCTACACCTTACATTTAAAATCATTAAAACAATGCAATGAAGCAAAAACTGTGGCATTTAAAGCTTATCATAACATGGTTAAATACTTTAAAACAACTTTTTATACTAAGGGTTCCAAAAGGGCAAAAAAAGAAATCTAGTTTCAAAGTGCCTATGTGGTGTAGTCAAGGTGATCTGAGGGTTCTCAAATTGGTGTTAAATTTCAAAGAAAAAACATCTGTGTTTTCTGATAATCTTAGATTGTAAATTGGTAACCTTAGACCCACCTATATTATGTCTAGATACGTTAATAAGAAGTAACAATATGAAGAAAAAACACTTAATTCCTTCTTTTGATCTACATTTATACTCAAATGTTGTTGCAGGAATTCCTGAGCCATTATTAATATATGAGACTAGTGTTGCCAAACATTATATCAATCTTACAACATAAAAGGAAGTTTCCTATCAGGATCCAAAAGGCACATGAATTAAAGCAGCAGTTATTCCACTGGTCTATCCAAATAAATACATTAAAAGGATCAGAGCTACAACCTCTTAAAATTGAACTGTTATAAAGGTTTATACCACAACAAGGTATTGATACACAAAGAGAAGGCAAAGGTGAAGGTAAAGGTATTTTGTATGTATGGAAACGTTTAACAATTGAATGTGTTTCACATTTCTTAAGCACACAGGCAATTAAAAAAACAGTTTCACAAAAGTTATTCTTTTTTGCCTTTTTTAAGTGCTATAAATTTGGAATAATGCAGTTAGAAAACATGACTTTGCCAGTGTTCAATATGTATAAAGCTTTATACACTATCCCTTTACACACTCAAGCTACAGTGCTGGGCACAGTTGGTGTTTTAGCCTACCAATATTGATCTCATCATCAGTCAGTGAATCACCAATGAAGTCAAACTGGAAGGATTGTAGGGTATGAGAGAACTTCTGAACAGCCAACGAATAATCTAAAAAAGAGATACAGAATGTTAATTTGCAGAGTACATTAAAATTGCCATTGATTAAATAGATTATTGCAACAGTAGCATTAAAATACTAGTGAAAGTATGTCTTGTAGTTCTGTACTAATCCCAAATATCTGGCTACACTTTCTGCACTACAATTCCATCATAAAGAACTGAATACATTTTCTAGATAACACTGGTACAGTCAGCTGTATTACATGTTTTTGATGAAACAGTGCTCTCTTTGACCTATTGTCACAATGGCATAATAATTTGTTTTGGAGATGTTCCTTCAAATTGTTTGATAGACATAAGCACATTTAAATTAGTTCTAAATTTCCCTCTTGCACTGATCAAGTTTCTCTCAGAAAATCTCCATGTGGTGTAGTTTTTATCCATAGCTCTGCTACACTATGGTTTGTAAACAGGGATGCAACAGTATAGGTACGTACATCTGAAACTGTAAAGCTATGCAAACTAAACCCCAAAACAGTCAGAGTAAAAAAATAATATGGTTATTTTCTCAAATCAACCATTCAGTACACCACAAACTGGTGCTTCAAAATAAAAAGGGAGGTATGTGCTGGGTTGAGAGTAGGGGTGCAGCCGTTATTTGAATTGATCTGCCTACAGGCCATGATGCAGCTGCAAAGCAAGTCCCTGGCTTCACGACAGAGAACCCCTTACTAGGCCCCAGTTTGAGCGAATGTTTAACAAAAGCAATATAAAACAAATGAAGGCCTTGGACCAATCTTAAGTAGCTTTCACATGCCAAAATGTACAACGAAGTGATAGATAAACTGTTTTTTAGGACAAAAAACTCTCTTTTAAATTGTAATACTGACTGCTCTCTAACAGTGTTAGGAGAAGCAAGTCATAAAAGCAGTAATATACAATCAGAACATGCTGGGATTTGGATATATTCCAAAGCCCCTGTCTGTGTTGAACAATTTTAAGCAGAGACAATGGAAAAGATTATTTGTCTCCACTGTTAATACCAACAGAGAGCCCCAAAGAATCTACCACCGTGCCCAGTTATTTCATATAAGGCACCAGGCTGTCGCAAAAAAACTGCTCAGTTAATTCAAGCCAGTCTTGATGATATTATTACAATGCAATCAAGCCAGGGAACAGAGAAAGCTAAACCGAAATGAAGGTTTTCTGTCGTTCATTCAGGCAAATATAAGAGGATTCTGCAGTGGAGTCACAGCCACACATCCTAACTGAAAACATCCAAGTTAACAAAGTTTGCTTCTTTATGAATGCATAGATAAACACATTTTTATGAACACATGAGAAATAAAAGTGGTGAAAAAAGGATTTTGCTTTCAATGTCATAAATTTATTCCACCGTGGATTCAAGGGTAACCTAATGTGTAAGATGTTGATTTTCTCAGAGCAGAATGAAGGATTAACACGAACTGTAATGGCAACTTGAAATAGAAAGGCAGCAATGTCTTATAAGTTGTGACAGGCCAAAAGGATTCAAAGTCCCACCCTATCCATCTGCTCATTTTGGCATAAGGATGAAGTCAATTTATCATTGAAAGCACTGTACTGAAACACATCCCAAATGGACATTAGAGGAATTTCTCCAAAACGGTAGATAACTAAGCATAAATTACAGAATGCTGGTTTCTCTACTCCTGTGCTCTCTGATTATTGCAGACTTCCTAGCTTTAGTAGCCCAATTATGTAAATTACAGAACTTTGAAATACAAATCTGAGTTCCTGGACCACCTCTGATTGTTCTCAGCCTGGGATGCAATATACAAAATATAGAAAGGCACAGCCTAAAAAGCCTTAAGCATTGTGCTAATTCTGTCAGTGCTTGCTAAAAGACATTTAATTGCTGCTGTAAGTCTAAGTCCCATACCAAGAACATTACAAACTTGAAAAAGTATTCAATAGGGTGGCTCACATTATGTAAGAGTGAAACTCCCTTTATTCCAGTGTCATAACATGCTACAAGGTAGAGTCATAGTTCCTGTGCATTTGATTTTGCATCATAAAATGTATTTAAGAAATGTTGCCCGATAACTGCATGAACCTAAAATTAAGCACTGTTTTTCTGAAGAATTTGCTTGTTCTTAATCTCACATCTGTCTGATAGTGGTAATGAAGTGCACAAGGCAATAATCTGAACACAGCCTGGGTTTACACATATAGTCTCAGCCAACAGTAAACCCACATTTTAAATTCATCAGTCATCATTCTTTTTTTAAATTCATCAGTCACCATGTAATAATCAATTTATAATAACATAAACAATGCACAATTTAGTAACAGTAAAGTGTCATTTATACTAAACTGATAAGGAGGTTAAGGATTTAAATAAAAACTATTTCTTCTTAGTTGCTATCTTTTCATTGAAGTTCTGAGCACTGTTTGATCTGATAGCTCCTTAGTGTTTCAGGACCAATTTACTGAGATATCTGTAATGTCTCTATTAAATATGCAGCCCTATGATAACAAAGCATAATTTAAAACAAAAACTGATTACAGCTTGTACAGTTTTTATTCTATTAGGAGTTTTATTCATCTTATTCCAGTCATGCACAGCACATGCTTTCACTCTATAGTGTATCTGGACAGCAAATGTTCATAGCAAAGGAACAAATTTAAACTGTTTTTATCATTGTGGAATTAGGCTAGCTGTCAGAATGGAATTTGTTTTTCTAAAGGATGCTTTAAATTGTCACATACCAAGTCTTCATCTGCAACGTGTCTCTTTGCAAACATAAAAGCTAAAGATAAAATACACAGTATATATATTTAATAAAAAGATATCTGATCTGTTGAACAGAAGTAGAGTGCCTATTTGAAAATAAAAATGTAGAGATTTAGAACATTAATCACTTGGATCTTACTTCAACAAACATGTATCAGATTAAAAACCATTCAGTGATTTGTGCTTTTTTTCCTGAAATATATTTCAGAGAATCAATAATGAAACAGACAGATGTGAAAGATTCTCCTCCTGTATGCTGTTTCCGAAACACACCGGAATATAAATTTTCAAAATATCAGAGACAACTTGGAGACCAGAACATTTCTTTCTAGTCAGATTCAGAAGAGATCCAGAGTTTTTACATTTTCATTTATTTTTATCAATCCTTTTTTGGCTGGGCATTTCAGTTGGCTTTTTATTATGGTTTCACATTCAACCCCCAAAGTGACTCCTGTATCTTAGTTAAAGTTTCAATAACACAAACAAAGAGCACAGGTCCAGATGGACTTATAATCAGGGACACTACTGTACCTTCCTGAGTCAAGGCCAAGGGCAGCCATCTAGGTAATGGCAGGTTTTTATGTTTCTTATGTGATTCACAGAGCTGTGTTAGCCTGGTTTATAGTTTTAAACTATAAACTGCATTCCCGCACCTGCTCTACCGCTCTTGTAGACCAAGTATGAAAACATCCTACAGTGCACTAATGACATCATCTACTTCCTCTCCCACTAAGGAGCATTTCAAGAGACAACTGGTAAGCCAAACTCATTCCAAAAGCCAAAGAAACAAATATAAACATCAGTGAGACTGCACTGCATCAGTGAAATATGTTTTGTTTATGACGCAATATATTTCTATAGACAAGAAACTAAACCGTTGCCATGGCATTCTATACACTATTATCAGCACTGAACTCTAACACTAATCCCATTGGACCCCTTTAAAACTGTGGATTGTATGGATCGAAAGGTCACGTTTAGGTTCTCTCCCCACTTCAGATTTGTGTTATTGAATTTCTGGGAAGCAGAGAGAGGCACCTTCAGATGTAATCCAAAGCTATCTGCACATTTATAGGCAAAGTAATAATTACATTTGAGGGACATTAAAATTTCAATAAAAACTATAAGTTTGCGAGAAAGCAGCATACCTTTCACAGTATTAGCCTAAAGAATTATAAGTGCAAGTGAAAGTGGATATGTGTATACAGCATAAAAAGTTTGCTGCAGTAGTGTGAGTGATTATACTTTAAACAGGTTACTTAAAACTTTCATTTCCTTTCCATAATATATTTAAAGGAAATTACCATAACATTTCTGATCAAAAATGATCTGTGATTTCAGCATCAGTTAAGATGCATGATTCTTCCTAGTTAATCAAGCAAAAAGTATCAGAAACTGCAACTTAGAGGCTGTTAGATGAATGTCTTATACATCTCTTTTAGTTTCAGATACAATGAAATATATTGTTTCCAGGGTTGCAACTTGACACTAATGAAAAGGGAAAAAAAATGAGTTATGGAATGGAATCTCTGCTGGATGACGGCAAACAAGGACAATACTGTTTCATCATTTTTGATATATGAAAAAGGAGGCGGACTAGCCTACAGAATGCAATGGACATAAGCTGAATCCCAGAAAATGAATGTGTAAAGTTTGCACTTTGAAAAAGCATGGAAGAAACAAAACAAAACCTACATCAGTTGAATGCACTACAAATTAGGCTCAATTAAAATGTACACTCCCTGAAGAGATTATATCCATCCATGATTTTTCTTTATTTACTTCTTTCTGGGTGTTGGTAAGCCTTTTAGGTTGTAGGAAGCATAATTCTCACAACCTTTCTCAAAGAAAAAGAGATCCAATTAAACATTTCCTCGTGTACTGTATTTATGTAAAGAATGTGAAAATCTCTAGCATTAGTCCACCGCCTGGTGTGTATCCTTAAACCATTTTCTCTTCACTAAAAGCAGACTTCTCACTAGCACATGGATTTCAAAATGGTTCCCCTGACAATGTTAAGTATAAGCAAACAAAATGTTACGTATAAATACATCATTTTAAAAATCTCAAGAACTGCAGTATAGGAAGAAAATAGTGGACATTTTAAAAACACCAAGGCTCTTAAGGCTGTTCATTTTTCTTTCAATGAATTTGAATAGAGTAAACAAATCAACTTAGTGCATTTTGTGGGACAGTTGCTAACTTGCAATATTCAACCACTGTAATGATTATAAGAAGGGGGGTTGTGAAAAATGAAAAACCACAGGAAATG